TGATAGTCTGGTTGACTGTGTTGCTGTGATAGCCCTAGTTGACTGTGTTGCTGTGGATAGTCTGGTTGACTGTGTTGCTGTGATAGCCTAGTTGACTGTGTTGCTGTGATAGTCTGGTTGACTGTGTTGCTGTGATAGTCAGGTTGACTGTGTTGCTGTGATAGTCTAGTTGTCTGTGTTGCAGTGATGATACTCCAGTTGACTGTGTTGCTGTGATAGCCCAGTTGACTGTGTTGCTGTGATAGTCTAGTTGACTGTGTTGCTGTGATAGTCTGGTTGACTGTGTTGCTGTGATAGTCCTGGTTGACTGTGCTGGTGTGATAGTCTGGTTGACTGTGTTGCTGTGATAGTCCTTGGTTGACTGTGTTGCTGCGGGATAGTCTGGTTGACTGTGTTGCTGTGATAGTCTGGTTGACTGTGTTGCTGTGATAGTCTGGTTGGCTGTGTTGCTGTGATAGTCTAGTTGACTGTGTTGCTGTGATAGTCCTGGTTGACTGTGTTGCTGTGATAGTCTGGTTGACTGTGTTGGCTGTGATAGTCTAGTTGACTGTGTTGCTGTGATAGTCTAGTTGACTGTGTTTTTGTGATAGTCCAGTTGACTGTGTTGCTGCTATAGTCCAGTTGACTGTGTTGCTGTGATAGTCCAGTTGACTGTGTTGCTGTGATAGTCTGGTTAACTGTGTTGCTGTGATAGTCCAGTTGACTGTGTTGCTGTGATAGTCCAGTTGACTGTGTTGCTGTGATAGTCTAGTTGACTGTGTTTTGTGATAGTCCAGTTGACTGTGTTGCTGCTATAGTCTAGTTGACTGTGTTGCTGTGATAGTCCAGTTGACTGTGTTTGCTGTGATAGTCTGGTTAACTGTTGCTGTGATAGTCTGGTTGACTGTGTTGCTGTGATATTCCAGTTGACTGTGTTGCTGTGATTGTCTGGTTGACTGTTGCTGTGATAGTCTGGTTGACTGTGTTGCTGTTATAGTCCAGTTGACTGTTGCTTTGATAGTCTAGTTGACTGTGTTGCTGTGATTGTCTGGTGGACTGTGTTGCTGTGATAGTCTAGTTGACTGTTGCTGTGATTGTCTGGTTGACTGTGGCTGGGATAGTCTGTGTTGACTGTGTTGCTGTGATTGACTGTTTAGCTGTGATAGTGTTGACTGTGATACTTTGATTGACTGTTGACTGTTGCTGTGATAGTCTAGTTGACTGTGCTTGCTGTGATAGTCCAGTTGACTGTGTTGCTGTGATACTTTGGTTTGACTGTGTTGCTGTGATTGTCTAGTTAACTGTGTTGCTGTGATAGTCTGGTTGACTGTGTTGCTGTGATAGTCCAGGTTGACTGTGTGTTGCTGTGATAGTCCAGTTGACTGTGTTGCTGTGATAGTCCAGTTGACTGTGTTGCTGTGATATAGTCCAGTTGACTGTGTTGCTGTGATAGTCTGGTTGACTGTGTTGCTGTGATAGTTTTAGTTGACTGTGTTGCTGTGATAGTCCAGTTGACTGTGTTGCTGTGATAGTCTTTAGTTGACAGTGTTGCTGTGATACTTTACATGACTGTGTTGCTGTGATAGTCCAGTTGACTGTGTTGCTGTGATAGTCTAGTTGACTGTGTTGCTGTGATAGTCTGGTTGACTGTGTTGCTGTGATACTTTAGTTGACTGTGTTGCTGTGATATTCCAGTTGACTGTGTTGCTGTGATTGTCTGGTTGACTGTTGCTGTGATAGTCTGGTTGACTGTGTTGCTGTTATAGTCCAGCTTGACTGTTGTCTTTGACTGGGCTGTGATAGTCTAGTTGACTGTGTTGCTGTGATTGTCTGGTGGACTGTGTGCTGTGATGCTGTGATAGTCTAGTTGTCTGTTGCTGTGATTGTCTGGTTGACTGTGGCTGTGATAGTCTAGTTGACTGTGTTGCTGTGATACTTTGGTTGACAGTGTTGCTGTGATACTTTTTACATGACTGTGTTGCTGTGATTGTCTAGTTGACTGTTGCTGTGATAGTCCAGTTGACTGTGTTGCTGTGATACTTTAGTTGACTGTGCTTGCTGTGATTGATCTTGATTGTTTGTTGACTGTGTTGCTGTGATAGTCTGGTTGACTGTGCTGCTGTGATAGTCTAGTTGACTGTGCTGCCTGTGATAGTCCAGCTGACTGTTGTGTTGCTGTGATAGTCCAGTTGACTGTGTTGCTGTGATATTCTAGTTGACTGTGTTGCTGCTGATAGTCTGGATTGACTGTGCTTGCTGTGATACTTTAGCTTGACTGAATGGCTGTTGCTGGGATAGTCTAGTTGACTGTGTTGCTGTGATATTGACTTTAGTTGACAGTGTTTGGACTGTGATACTTTTAGCTGACATGACTGTGTTAGTCTGTTGACTGTGTTGTCTAGTTGACTGTTGCTGCGATAGTCCAGTTGACTGTGTTGCTGTGACTGTGTTGCTTTGATAGTCCTAGTTGACTGTGTTATTTGTGATAGTCTAGTTGACTGTGTTGCTGTGATAGTCTAGTTGACTGTGTGTTGCTGTGATAGTCTAGTTGACTGTGTTGCTTTGATAGTCTGGTTGACTGTGTTGCTGTGATAGTCCAGTTGACTGTGTTGCTGTGATAGTCCAGTTGACTGTGTTGCTGTGATAGTCCAGTTGACTGTGTTGCTGTGATAGTCCAGTTGACTGTGTTGCTGTGATAGTCTGGTTGACTGTGTTGCTGCGGGATAGTTGCTTTGAGTTGACTGTGTTGCCAGTTGATAGTCTGGTTAACTGTGTTGCTGTGATAGTCTGGTTGACTGTGTTGCTGTGATATTCCAGTTGACTGTGTTGCCTGGTGGATCTGTCTGGTTGACTGTTGCTGTGATAGTCTATAGTCTGACTGTGTTGCTGTGATAGTCCTAGTTGACTTGACTGTGATAGCCTAGTTGATAGTCTGTGAGTCTGACTGTTTGCTGTGATTGTCTGGTTGACTGTGGCTGTGATATTCCAGTTGACTGTTGCTGTTATCCTGGTTGACTGTGCTTTAGTCTGTGTTGCTGTGATTGTCTGTTGCTGTTACTGTTATAGTCTAGTTGACTGTGTTGCTGATACTTTGGTTGATAGTCTGTGAGTTGACTGTTGCTGTGATAGTCTGGTTGACTGTGTTGCTGTGATACTTTAGTTGACTGTGTTGCTGTGATATTCTAGATTGAATTATTGCTGTGATAGTATAGCTGATTGTGTTGCTGTGATACTTTAGTTGACTGTACTGTGTTGATACTTTAGTTGACTGTTTTGGTTTTACGTGATAGTTTTAGCTGATTTAGCAATATTCCTGTGCAACATTGACGGCGGATAGGATAGCTGACCAGAAATGGGCTTCCCGTCACTTCAGATTGACTGTGTTGCTGTGATACTCCATGACTGAGTTTGGGACGTCGCTTTTAGCAATATTCCAGCAACATCCGGGCGGGGACACCAGAAATGGGCTTCGGTACCCATGTGGGATTCGAGCTTCAACGCCAACGCTTTAACCATTAGGCTACCCCACCGCCCCTGATACTCTAGATTGCATTATTGCTGCGATGGTCTGGCTGGCTGCGTTGCTGTGATACTTTTAGTTGACTGTGTTGCAGTGATTGTCTGGTTGACTGTGTTGACTGTGATACTCTAGATTGCATTATTGCTGCGATGGTGTAGCTGACTGTGTTACTGTGATGCTTTTTAGTTGACTGTGTTGCTGTGATTGTGTGGTTGACTGTGTTGACTGTGATAATCTAGATTGCATTATTGCTGCGATAGTCTAGTTGACTGTGTTGCTGTGATTGTCCTGTTGACTGTGTTGCTGTGATATCTTGATGTCTGTTTGTTTTGATACTCGGGAAGACTAATGTTAACAGCCAACATCTACGCAGTCTAATAAACGAGTTGAACAACAACAACAATAGCAACAACAACAACAATAACAATACAACAACAACGACCTGGTTTGTTTGCCGAAACACACAGATATTCAGGCTGTCAATGCATCATCGCATGTGCAATAAAGGTTGTCCTCGGCTGCAGTGAAGTAGACGCGCCAAGGAACAGGAAATACACATGGAACTAATATAGTGACGATATGTCAGTGATGCCATTGTTTAATAGCACATTTCAGGTAATGAAAACAAGGTTTCAGTTTGACAGGGTTCGCCCAAACGCATCCTACATGCATGTGAAGCATGCTACCCACTCATACCATGAAAAAGCAGTGTCTGTGCTTGGCCGTCCAAGAGTATACCAATTTGTGAATATGCCATCCGTTTCTCCATACTCGTTAACAAGGCGAGGAGAAGACTTTTATTGGGGAACGAGATGGCAGATAGTGAGTATGCATGCAGCTGGCATGCCATTCGTGGGTTGACGGCGCTCAGATTGGTTACTGTCACTCTGTCATCAGTAGGCGTAACCCGGAACACCAACCAATAGCCACTGTTAGGCAATCGACCAAGGCCAGGGCACCTTTCATGGTTTATGTTACGGGTAGTCGTCTGAGAGTCTGGAGGCACATTAACAGTGCTTATATGCCAAGAAATATTCATCCCATCTCTTCCTGGAGCCTCTCTTGGAGGCTCAGGTATGGTGTAGGGAGGTGTGTCTCCCATGACTGTAGGGGCGGTGGGGTAGTCTAGTGGTTAAAGCGTTGGGTCGTCACGCCGAAGACCAGGGTTCGATTGCACACACGGGTACACTATGTGAAGCCCATTTTGGTGAAAGCGGAGTAAAACTAAACTCACTCACTCACTCACCCCCATGACTGTAGGCCAACGTTATTTGCAATAATACGAGGCACTAGCTGAAACGGGGACAAAGTTTCCGTTCACTGCTCAAGAAAACTATGTCAAGGATATTGACATTGCGATCCACATACAATCGGCTGAGTTTAACTTTACATTTGCTCTCGGGTCAAACTATCGCTCAGTAAATATCCATATAGGGGAGGCTCAATCCACTGAGCGGCATTACGTGCCTCTCAAAGAGAGCGAATGGACACCCATCGTAGTGTTGTTGTGTATATCTCCTTCAGAAACAGCTGTGCTGCGACGAGACTATACTCGTAAACAGGTCAAATAAGTCCCTATGTAAATACGGTTTGCGCTCAGGTTGGATTTCGAGTGACCTACACCATACGCGGAGCCCCTTACCAGTGCGCGGACACATATAGGCGTATGCTCTCCTTTAACCACCAATAATCATGATGTTCTATATTGCCCTGATGTTCGTAGGGTTGCTGGCTGTCGGCAGTGGGGATGTATTCACACACGAAGAGAGCGAGAACATTAAGGGTTATCTAGAGACAATAAAGGGGGTGTCAAGACATACCCGGTCTCAGCATCGCCGTCGTCAAGGGCAACGAAACCTGGTCTCTACCCTGGGATATGCAGATTTAGCGGCGAAGAGGGAGGTGACTGAAGAGACGCTCTTCGGAATTGGTTCGATAACAAAATCAATAACTGCAACACTCATTGCTTTGATGATCGACGAATCAGAAGGAAAGTAAGTAGGGTAATTTGCATGTGTTTTACATCCAGTGCACACACCTGTAGACATCCAGGCCGTGGTGACAACACACTGCAGTGATATATCACTCATTTCTTCAAAAGCTGCATTTTATGTTGTCAGTGAGTGAGTATGGTTTTACGCCGCTTTTAGCAATATTCAGCAATGTCACGGCAGGGAACACCAGAAATAGGCTTCACATATGGTACCAATGTGGGGAATCGAACCTGGGTCTTCGGCGTGACGGGAGAAAGCTTTAACCACTAGGCCGCCACCCACCGCCCCTTATGTTTTCCAGAGTCCACGGAGTTAAGACATGTTTATCTGCGTATTCGTTTGAAATAGATTTGCTCCTATGTACATGATCATATGAACATTACGAATGAATGGAGTGAAATTTATTTATTTTGATTCTATTACATATCACAAACATGGTTTTCCACACTACCATGCAGTCTGTGTGTACAGAGAAATATATCAATAGCTGGTAATCAAACCAAGAAGTCCGATGTGACATAGTCAACCTGATCAATATCAGGCTTTTCATGAAACTGATAGGCATTATTCAACTCTATATACAAATAACACAAACAATAACAACAATAACAATTCAACGTTTCCAACAACACAGGTGCGATAAATTGGCTGCATGTTCAGAAACACGTCCTTGAACAGTGACTGACACAATATCAGCTGACGTATGGGGGAGTCACCTTACCCTCACCCCAGTCGTCTCAAACTCCACTCAGTACCGGGGACCTACACCAGCAACATAGTTTGGTATCATGGTTGGGTGTCCTTGACATTGGAGTGGGTGTCACCGAATCTTACGTGCGTTAAGTTACGTATGATAACTGTACAATGTTAAGGTGAATATACCTGTAATTGTCGGGGATCTGTGCCCAAATCACTTCCTGCTGCAGTCGACTTTCATAATTTTGTCACTGTGGAAATACAGCAAAATGTCTGAATAAAGCAAAACAAAACAACAAAACAAAATACCCCCACCCCAAAGAAAACAACAAAAACAACAGCCAAAAACCCCCAAAACCCAAACAAATACAACAAAAAGTAAATAAATAAATAAATTAATAAATAAATAAATGAAAAAACACCAACAAAAACAAACCCCGTTTGGTACAGACCCACTCCATAAAAGAAGGGCACCTTTTGTCATCGTGCAAGTTACATCGCTGCGTATCCAGTACAGGTCGTAACCTCATAACCATGTCACGTTAATAAAAAACTTTGTCATGCTATAGTTTTCAGGGTAATATATTTGCCATCCCTCAACGGAGTGTGTATGTAAGCTAGTGATGGAGGCCTCGCGTGATAGTCTACCAGAAATATTTCACTCTCGGCCTATACAATTTATGGTGTCCATCTATGTTTGTTAATGCGCGCTTTAATTGATTTTACTAATGTAAAGATGTGTGCACTGGACGAAACAAAGAAATCAGTCGATATCTTTAATTGCTGATACAAGTATAATATCGCCACAACCACCTCCATGTATTCAGGAAGATCCAGAGAACCAATAATTTCCAGGTCTTCTGCATTGAAGCCATCTTCTCCGGAACAGTGACAAATAACTGAAACATGTCTTTTTGTATGAAACAAGATCCAGAATTACTTATTACCATTGGAGAATATCAACATTTTAGTATAGATGTAATCCATGTCTTACTGCAGGATCACGTTCGACACTACTGTCTCGGAACTTCTTGGAGAAGGCTACGAGTTCCCAGATGACTTCAAGACAAAGGAGACAACAATTAAAGATGTCTTGAGTCACCGGACAGGACTGGCGGGCCTGAATCTGGCCACGATATTCGGGGGTCCTCCGGGGATTTCCAGAGAAGACTTTTCTAAGTATGACGCCAATAGTCAGTGAGTTTGGTTTTAGGCCGCTTTTAGCAATATTCCAGCAATATCACGGCGGGGACACCAGAAATGGGCTTCATACATTGTACCCATGTGGGCAATCGAACCCGGGTCTTCGACATGACGAGCAAACGCTTTAACCACTAGGCTACCCTACCAGCCAGATGATAAATGATGATGATGGTGATGATAGTGATGGTGATAAACACTCACGTAACCTCTGTCCAGGTCTGTAGATTCAATGTATCGGTAATAGTGAAGAAAACATGAGAGTAGATTATGTTCTTAAATGTAATGGCCGAGTACAGGTGAGTACCTAGTTTGTCTCTAATTATTTGTGATCACATATGCATGATATTATCCTTCTCAGACTTGCAGGACTGTTGCCCTCCAACCCATTCCGTGGCGAGATGCAGTACAGCAACTTCATGTACATGTTGGCCGGGCACATCACTGAGAAGGTGTGGGAGCATCCTGGGAAGAGAATCTCAACACCAGGTTGTTACAGCAGATAGGTATGACGTCAACAGACACAGGTATGGAGGACGGTGACGTCACAGGAGACAGATATGCCCGACCATACGTCTATCTGAGGGGAGAACTAACCGAAGGTGACCCGGCTCCACTTGAGTAAGTGGTTAGCAGCTGATAAATGTGAATTCATTGTCAAGTATATGCTAAATGATAGCGTTAAACCAATTCAGAGAAAACGGAATGTTTTGTAAGTCCTTTGGTGTAAATTCAGATCTATTCAGTGAGTGAGTTTAGTTTTATGCCGTTTTAGCAATAGTCCAGCAATATCACGGCGGGGACACCAGAAATGGACACCAGAAATGGACATCGCATCCATGTTGGAATTCGAACTCGGGTCTACGGCGTGACAAGCGAACGCTTTAACCACAAGACTACCCCACCTGCCCCAGATCTATTTAAACAGACCTTTAACAACCGTACACGTCAACACGCTTGCAGACCAATAACAGCTGATTTGTGCACGACATGGCATTTTCAAAATGAAGCTCAGGTGATTTACACTGTTCTGATGTTACTTGTATTATTCAAACAGGTAACAGTGAAATATTTCACAGTGACTTAATATGTTTTTTGGCACATAATAAGGTATATTATTGAACTGTTTGAGAGGCATTCTAGAAGTTGTAAGCAATAGGAATGACACGTGTCTATGGATGATCAATTTCTTTCTTGTACGATTGCAATATGCAATAAAGAAGTTGATCATCCATAAACACTTGTCATTCCTAGGTATATTATTGACATCCCGTTCAGTACCATGTTCAAATGTTACAGCATTAGCGCCACATCCTTCAACATCAAGCCGGTATGTGACTGTAATATATGGCATTCTGTATGATCTGTGTATGTTATACAGCATTGGAAATGTGGGCCCGGCCGGTGCAATGGCCTCCAACATCCAGGACATGGTAAAGTTCATGAGATTTATGCTAAACAAAGGGAAGCTGGAAAATGGCACTCAGCTGATCAAGGAAGCGACCATACAACAACTGTGGCAACCTGTCATCCCCCTGCCGTCCTTCATGGTCTTTATGATGGAGAAGCTGTACCCCCAGTGGCCAGTGTCTGACGTATCAGTCGGGTATGGCATGGGCTGGTTCAAGAATGTCTACAGGGGTATGTGAACTCTCTTCTAATCATACGACCCGTGAAGAGCCGGGTTTGAATTGATCTTCAGTAACCCATGCTTGTGGTAAGAGGCGACTAATGGGATTGGGTGGTCAGGCTCTCTGACTTGGTTGACCCATGTCATCGTATCCCAATTGCGTAGATCGATGTTCATGATGTCATCGATGATCACTGGATTGTCTGGTCCAGACTCGATTTTTTACAGCCCGCGCCACATAGCTGGATATATTTCTACATGTTACTGACTTAAACATTATATTCGCCAAGGACTAACAACTAGCTTATGTTAGGAGTGAGTGAGTGAGTTAATATTTAACGTCACATATTGCTAGGCGCCCAGCCGCTGGCATGACTTACCTCAAAATCAGATAAAATTGTCTCGATTCATGCTTCATGAAACATGAAAAATAACAACAACACAGTTACCAATTTCGGCACACATTTCAATAAACCATCAAGCTATATTGGTGGTGAGTGGTGAGTGAGTGAGTGAGTGAGTGAGTGAGTGAGTGAGTTAATATTTAACGTCACATCTGCAATATCTCAGCCATATCGTGACGAGAACAATTTATATAATACAAAAATGAAAATATTGTGAAGAGTTAAACCTGTCGCCGATGGACAGTAAAAATACTAGAGTATGACAGATATGAACATAAAAGTAGCATGTAAAACTAAAACTGTGTAATTAAAGAAGACAATACAATATAAAACACGGGCTATAGAAGGTAGATCACCATACTAGGAACCACCGCTTATGTTAGGAGGGCCATGAACTAGCAATAAAGTTTTTAGATCGTAATGGTGAAACCATCCCGTAATTATCGGAGTTTTGAACTGACGTCACAGGTATGTAGTTGATAGTTCCGCCATGCTGGCCATGATCACGATGCATGTCACATATTGGTAGAAATACAGTGTAAACAGATACAGTAAAGTAACAGTGGGTTCGAATCCAAGATTCGGTTTGAAAATCTTTCTTGTCACTTTGAAACACATGCTGCCACCTGAATAGTAAACGCCTAAGACTTACACCAGCCCAGGGCTTTCCTTTGACATAATCCTGACTGAAGGTTGGCAAAGTGGCGCCAAACCCAAATTACTAGTGATGTTAAGAAACACACACACACACGCACGCACGCACGCACGCACGCACACATGATTGGTTGAATATATGCCTGACGCACACGTTGCTTATGTCCCCGATGTTCTTCCATCTGCCTGTTGTTAATTAAATATGCTGTTAATAAACACTGTTTTGAGAAAGGACTGAGAAAGAATTTGCCTATGGTGATTCATAAGTGACCCTGCAAAGTGATCCTTTTTTTACTTTTAGACAAACTGAATCTTTTATATTTTGAAATAGATTCACGGTGTAGCCTTAGAAAAAACGGACATACTGTCACTACAGGCAAAACAGATCGATTTCTGTTTGCTGGGCCTGTTTCAATAATACGTCATGTCACATGTTAAATAACGTTTACAGGGCGACAGAACATATGGCATGCGGGCGGCCTCCACAGCTACAACTCTCTACTGTGGCTCTTCCCTGACAGTGACATCGGACTCCACATCAGCATCAATGGACCAACAACGTCAAATTCAAAATCACCCATGAGCATGTTGTTGTCGGCATTGTATTACGTAGCTGACATCGTCCTGGGAGAAACACCATGGTTAGACAAACAAACAGGCTGCACCTTCCCCAAACCCTGGTTGGATATGGCCATGTTTGTACCACCGCCCGACACAGATGACACATCTGTCACACCCGAATACCCCCTCTCGGATTATGCTGGGAGTTACTTCAATCCCTTGGTTGGCGAGTTTTTGGTTACCTTGGACAAGTCAAAAGATCAACTGCAAATAAAACTGAATAAATTAGATGGTGTTCTGGTGCCGAAAAGGGATGGATCGTTTGGATTAGCATGTAAAGGAGTGTATGAGTTCTTAACATGGCCGGAGAAAGATAACCCTATGTATATGTACAAAGCCGTGTTCATTAGAGGGGCGGATTCGTTTGATGGTGTTGACTTGGTAATGACTTTACCTTTAGATCCACCCCTTCGGTTTCAGGTTCAGCACGGCGATGACAACATCAAAACTGAACTTTGAAATTGTGTCATTACTCATTGTCATTTTGTCATTCTGCCCAAACTGTAACATACATTACTTATTAGATGTTCGTCATTGATTTCATTAAGACTACATCCAATGAAATCATTAATACTTATATTCATTGTAGACGTGCATGTGATTACAATGGAATACTGAGTTAAAACACTGTGAAGACTAAAGTGGAAATTCTGCTTTACATCATTCTGCAGCGCTGATACTTTAACATCAATAATTTCACGTATACTGACAATTGTAGCATCTATTATGCTTTTTGTACTTAATGTAATAAATCGTAATTATATTTTTCAGAATAAACTAGGGAGTACAAAAAACCCATATTATAACAAGTCCATCACTTCACACGTGTATTGCTGACATGATCAGAACAACATTCCTGATGTCAGTCGATTCTTAATATGAAGTCATAGCTGAAAATTGTTGACACCATTCAACAATCGTTTCTAAGACGGCAGTCGTGATCAGCACATTTTTCAAAGGAGCTCATACATACATGTATTTTACATTTGATGTAAAGCCACTTCACGAAAGGAAATTAAACAAAAAACACTCACTTGCAAGGCAATTTAATACAGCATTATATTTGGTCAAGTTGGATTCAATTTTCGTGGCATTAAGATGCTGGTGTATGGACGAAGATAGGGTTGATTTGCGTCGTATTAAAAGAATAAACAAAATAAATGAAATTAATATATTCATCCTGTCTTCACTCACATTTCTTTGACTGACAACTGACTAGAATAGAACATCTGAAACTACATCATCTTGTCGGCAGATGTCAGGGAGAGACATTGCAAGTACAAGAGCATACCATTATTGTATACCATTATTAGGGGCGGTGGGGTGGCTCGTGACGCCGAAAACCCGGGTTCGATTCCCCACATGGGCAAAATGTGTTAAGCCCATTTCTGGTGTCCCCCGCCGTGATATTGCTGGAATATTGCTAAAAGCGGCGAAAACTAAACTCAATGACTATTGGCGTCATACTTAGAAAAGTCTTCTCTGGAAATCCCCGGACTCAGTCAGTCAGTCAGTATACCATTTTTTAAAGATGTCGTAATATTTCCGAAAAACTGAACAAAACAAGCAATCAATTAAAAGATAATAAACCAAATGTCTGGAAAGGTATTGAAGAAACAATACCACAAAAATAACTAATTAATTATGAAAGTTTCAAATGACAAATTAAGCGTCTGTATTTTATGTATCCTCATGTGTAGTTCAATATGTGGAGACGTCTCGGATGTCTGACAGGGGCAAGTAAGATGCACTGCCGTCGAAATACAGTTTTCGGAGGAGTCGTTCCTTAACTGCATGTCCCCCGTATCCTGCCAGGCGTCCTAGGCACTGATGGAGTTTGGTATTGAACTCGGATGTAGATACTCATACGGAAGATCCAGTGATTTGTTTCGTTCATTGATGATCACACCTATCTTCTCAAGCTTCTCCCGGAAGCTGCAACCGAATACGCGCATGAGCACTTCAATAGTTTCATAGCTTTTGACAAGATGCAATATATTACTAGTTTTTTGTAGTAACGTCCGTTTACAAAAAATGCTAAACTTAGAATTGAGGTACATTAATAATGATAATTATTTCTGGTTTGTACGGTGTGGTCAATACCTCCATATTTGTTATTTCAAACAAGTTTGTACATTTACTCTGGCGTTTATCACACAAGCTAACATGACCTTTATTGAATATTGGACACGACTATCTGTGATCGGTTCTGACGATAAAATATGTTGAAACATTGCTATTATATGAACGCGTGTTTTGCACCACACAAGTTTTATGTATGGCAGAAAAGTTATAAGTGATAAGTACTCACCTTTCAACTATTTTCTGTGCCTTGGGATCAAATATGAAATCAACCTCAAAGTCTCCCAGACCTTTGACTCCCTTCTGGCTGAGTATTTTGGTGACGATCATTGCATCCATTGTCAGTTTCTTGTCGGGCAGAGCATTGAGGATGTCGGCTTCTGTCCTGGGACTCTGAAACACGCTTCTTTAATATACATGTTTGCAAAGCCATAAGTATTTACTTTTATATATGTCCTCTACACAACATGATTCAACAATGAATTTATGAAGTGGACATTATGTCGGTGATGCTGGTTGTTTACAAAGACTGAACCTTGGACATTACAAAAGATTACGCTAAACGCAAGAGTTGAGTGGTCTCTTAAAGTTAGTTACTGGTGGACAAATACTGAAACGAATACGTTTGTCTGAGTAAATAACATGTCATGTCACGGGTTACCTCCCTTGGATCATGCATATCAACAAAACAAACAGTAATTCTTTTAAAAGAATAGGGTTAAAAAATGTCCTGTCCTGCGACGGATCAATAACATAAATATGTATTTGCCTTGGGTATAATAATCATTTATACATATTATATATTACTACAACTATATGCTACATCTGTCCCACGATATCGAAATGATCATATATGAAGAGTCAAGTCAAATATTCCACCACGGGTGACCTCCCTTTGAGCAAGCATGTCCGTTGAACAAGAAGGCACCCAACACCTGAACGTTCATCGTGCAAACTGAGTTGAAAGTCCCGAAGATATTTACAACTAAAACGGTAGCATAAATATGTATTAGATAAACCTCTGGCACTTTCGACCTCGTTCCAGTAACCTCGCCCGGACCCTTATGCACGATCTGAGAGACGCATGGAATGCTCTAGTGCAGAGCAGATTTGTTTGAGTGCGGTTTACCTTGTCTGTTGGTGGTCTCCCAATGAGGCTGAGTGGGTAGGTCGGCGGGAAGCCGTAGTAGTCGTACTGGGGGAAGTTCACGGCGGCGTGCTGGACGCTGCAGGTGAAGATGATCGACGTCAACGTCAGGATCAGCTGCTCCAGCTCATGGAATTCCCCATCACCAGGTACTCCCTGGAGAGATCGGTGCCCACAGTTTGCTTTTAGACATATGCCAGACATGGGGACATCAAAAATATTTTTTTGTATGCTTACCAGCGTGAAGACACCCGTGACGAAGAATCGCTCGTACGACGGCGGTATGTTATTGCAGATTTGAAGTCTACGAGAATGTGCTATCTGTATACAACCACGGAAGAACGATAACTAAATAAAGCTGACTATGTGATTATATATCGGAAAGTGTAATCCGAAATATCGGGGGTGGCTAAATAATTACAGAATGAAAGACTGTCAGCAATAACCTTTGAAAGTTGTCCGATGAAGAGATGAATCAGCCCAAAAATGTGATGCTAACATAAGGGATACCTGCTTCTGCTTTTGAGAATGGACACTTCAATGAGAAAATGCCAGATGATGTACATGACATTGCTCCTTTCTTTGTACAGCCTTTTTCAACCGTGTTCCCTACCTGTAGACCAATCCCGCCGTCCTCCCGACTCTGAACCATCTCCTTAGCCCAGGCCTGTATTTCTGTGTCGTCAAGGAGACGCTGGGGTGTATCTGGTGACATAATAGCTAAACTTTCAGTAACATGAATTAATCGTTGGTCGTCTTTTGAATGACATTGAACAGGGGGAAATCAGTAACATTTTCAACTCCAGACACCACAAGCTGGAGCAAGTTACTCCAACTTTAATTTCGAATTCCACTTCTCAACTTCATATAATCAACGGAAGTTGATATTGATTGAAGCGCACCGAGGGCGGGGAGGTGTTTATGAGGTGAAATTATATTACGAAATCAATCTACTTATTACACAGCGTGATGCACCTTATGAAGACGAAGACCTCGTCAGCATACAAGAACACTCTGCGTCGATGTTTACCGATGTCTCGATGTCAGTGCATATGGATAATTTTCAAAGAAATAGCAGATGAAAATGCAATTGTGAAGATGTAAAAGTTTGAGTCAGAATATAATTTCTGAATACTGGACATAAGAAATAATTTGATCATGCATGATGTCACAGATTCGATTCTGAAACAAAAGATGAGAATTAGGTAAATCTACTTACCATAATACAGGCCAACGTAACTTGTAACGTAGGTTTTTATTGCATTGTACAGAAGTAGAGAGTCGTCACGGTAGTAGTACCCAGGAAGAACGTTCTCCTCGGACACCTAGGGAGATAGATTGTCCAGGAAACTTAGGAATGACAATGGGATTGATAATAGATGTCAGAAGCCGTCCCCACATAGGTCATACGTGCAAGAAGCACAGTGTTAAAGAAATAGTACGCTACAGTACTCAAAACAAAGCTAGACAGCGTCATGCCATAAAAAGCAAACATTACTTTGAGGGAGCCAAGTATAGATGTTTATCACTGGTCGAAGGAGGCGAGTAAATTCGAAAACCCCAACAATTCTTGATTACAACTGATCTCTCCGAGCGCCGTGGTTTCACATCACCTGCGTAAGGGTAACTGCCATACTATTCAACTGTTCATCCAAATACCAACATTAACTCATCTCCTACACCTTCTGACTACGTACCCCTCGGGTCTCCAGGTCTTCTGGCAATATACCATGTATGTCCATCCGCCATCTTCTCCTCCTGGGAAGGGGAAGTACAGATAATATGTAATCAGCCAATATTTCTCTAATGTCAGTGGTAATGATTGCTGACTTTGGGTTGAGGCATCTCAGTAATAACTATAGTTTAAATCTAGAAACACTTCAACGAAGATGAATTCCATGTATCCTAAGCTTATTAAATATGAAGATTCATATTTGATCATTGAAATTTACCCTATAACCATTCATCTGAAACTCAAAATGATCGTGATCACGGATGTACACATCAACATATTTTAGTACTCGGAAATGAAGCTAAAACACCACAAAATGTGTCCAAATGTTTTCACCTTTAACCTGACAAATTACATTTGTAGTAATCCACAATCTTTATCAGTCGTCAAGATCAACATCATGTACATATATTACAAACGACATATGTTCATATGATTCGGCATTGACAAAATGATGTCAGATCTCCCGAGGGAGTCAACTTGTCGATGGACAGTTTGGATGTACCAAGTCGCATGGTACCTATTCAAGTCGAGCACGCCATTCCTTCCGCATGACATCGTCTTGTCGATCCATCCATCAACCGCCAAAAGTTTCTCCACAGCAAGTCTGGACAAGGCAATTGTTTAAATTATTTCCGTCGGTAATTATTGGAATAAAATTCAGATGTCACTCAATTAACGTTACCTTTTCTGTATCGCAAACGGAAGTATCAGATAGATCAATGCAACTGGCGATTGAACAGTAATGGAGGCCATATACTTTGCTTGTATTTATTCGTTTTTATAAAGTCAATTATACAAATTGGTCCGCTCACACAGCGCCGTATCCGACTCACACGTGCTGAAAGTTCATGATCTATTCATTATGAAATAATTATACAGGAGTTAGTCAAAATTGCGTTCTTGGTTACCCCGAGCAGTAAGTAACACAAAACATTGAAAACATTAAATAATTATGCATTATGCATTTCTTTCGTCACATGCCATTCATTGTGAGACTCGCATTTTCCCAGAATGATACATATATACAAAGAGCAGCGTTAGTAACGTACTTGTTGATCGGAAGCAGGAACAGAAGATGCGGAGCCAGGAGTTTGAAGATTGGGTGTGAGATGGACACCTGTCTGTGAAGTGCCACTATCACTCCCTCCATCAGCAGATGGGTATATCCTGTAACAACCAGGTCGGAATGTGTCTTCAAGCAGGACGAATACAGTGCGATTTGTGAAGATACACACACATGCAATATGCCGTTAAAATGTGAATAAAAGTTAGTAAGAGTTAAGCAAAATACAGCGGGGAACAGATCTAAACTTATCATTGTTTGGCTGTAAACCCAATATCAATAATGAAGCATAATATAACTGAACCGATCATGTAAGCGCTTTCAGCATTGAAGTTACGTTGGGAAGCTACCGCAGTTTAAGTACACACATTAGTACCCCTTTCTTTTAAAATGTTTCAAATCAGTTACTTTGGAGGCGATTTGTTTTCAAGCTCTGACATCTCGTACTGGTTTTGGTGTAAATTTTCTACTCTAAAGATACCAAACGAATTTTCGAAATGTGCGGGTTTGGAGTGGAGTTGACTGGGTTCCCAGAAAACACTTGATAAATAACCAGAGTGATATTGCAAGTGATATCAACGAGGGGAAGCTATATCGCAAACGAGATTTGTTTTGGAAGGAAAGGCTGAAGTGATGCAGGAGATGGAGCATCATGGAAACAGGATCTAACTCCTACCTGCACAGAAGCTAGCTTCATTAGCTTCACGGATACGTGAAATACGTCATTCATAACGTTGCTTTAGTTATTAAGGCAAAATGATTTCATACGAAATTATAATATTATTAGTTCTGTGATTTGCTGATTCAGATATCCTTACGCGATATGAGCCGCTCGTACATGCAGGTGCAGTTCGTTGTAAATTGTATGACTGGCGTAATAAATAGCGACATTTACTCGACCCACAGCCTGTCAATCATTGTTAGAGCTAAACGATTGCTGACCATGGGGTCAAACCAATTATCTAATACATTTTCATAGCCTCGTAGTATAGTTGGTTTGTCAGGCCAGCACCCGGGTTTGATTCCCACATAGAGGTTCCTCGTGAACTAAAGTCTTGAAGCGTCCACATCACACCACTCAAGTCCACTTTGCTCCACTGCATAAGGTGCATATTGGTTATACTACATGTAAATTCAGATTCATTTAAGACAACGGTATATAAATAAAGAAAGATACTTGCACGTGTGTAGGAGTTATTCAGGATACTGGGAACGCCTACAATACAAACTTTAAATGGTTCGTTTATCCCAAATTCACAATGGACATGAACAAAAACATCTATTAACATTTGGTTTGTTGGTGTTGGATGATTGGCGGTTGTGGGGTGGGTGGGGGATTATTGGGTGTGCTGGCGTATTGTCGGTTTGTGGTTGGATAGGAAACAACATGGGGGATGCGGTTGGGGGTGTAATTGTTTTGTTTTTAATCAGAGTAATTTATTCGTAACATATCCAGCTATATTTACACATGTGCCAACTGTATCATTTCAAGATTGGCATAAATGTTTATCCTGAATTCAATGCTTAACAGTGAAGGTGACCTCCGGGATACACTGACCAAGATGGACGAGCGACTGGTGGTAGGTGGCCTCTGACTGGTTGTACCACATTTTTGCCAGCAGCCACGTGTTCGGGTCGTCGGATGGTAGAAACACCTGGAATGGAGTTCGTTATTTAATGCAAATGACAGACAATGACGAAGTTGGGTTTATAAGCACCCAAACAGGTGATATACATACGTCCTAAACAGGTACTGTTAAAATAGGTGATATATATATATATATATACGTTCTAAACAGGTGATATACATACGTCCTAACAAGTACTGTTAAAACAGGTGATATATTATATACGTCCTAAACAGGTACTGTTAAAATAGGTGATATATATATATATATACGTTCTAAACAGGTACTGTTAAAATAGGTGATATATATATATATATACGTTCTAAACAGGTACTGGCAAAACAGGTGATATACATACGTCCTAAACAAGTACTGTTAAAACAGGTGATATATTATATACGTCCTAAACAGGTACTGTTAAAATAGGTGATATATATACGCCCTAAACAGGTACTGTTAAAACAGGTGATACATATATATATATATATATACGTTCTAAACGGGTACTGTTAGAACAGGTGATATATATACGTCCTAAACAGGTAAAATAGATATATATATATATATATATATATATACGTTCTAAACAAGGTACTGTTAAAAGCAGGTGATATATATACGTCCTAAACAAGTACGGCTCTAATCTACTGAAAGATTTGGTGCAATCAGAAACCATGCGGCACAGCACAGCTTGGGGCGTCCAATTGCTGGGAGTTGACCATGTGTGTTAATAACACCTAATTATACCATCATCAGACAAATAGGCGCAATTTAGCTGTCGACAAATGTTTATGTGTCAGAAATGACGCTGTTATGTATCACAATCTCAAGGCTATCTATATATCTTGGGCCTGTATCACAATCTCAAGGCTATCTATATATCTCGGCAATCAGTGTTTTACTGTTACCGGCTGTTAACCTAAACCTCTCTCCATCTGAGGCAAATCATATTTCATAATCATGCTAGTTTACCTAACAGGTGGATAGAAAAATATTGTTACTAATTACAGGGTTATCTGCTCCTTGTTCCTGGAACAACTGGATGGCAACTGGTAGGAGCTGGTCTTTATTGTTCCGATACAGCAATACAATAGGGGCACACACCTGTAGACAAGGGAACGTGGCAGGTCAGCAAGTCGGACATGTTGTCTGTAATATTACCAGTTATTCCCTTTAGCCTTAAATGTGACCGGGCAGTGTGCAAAATAGCCACTGGCAAGCAAGGCCGTGGCTAGTAAAATCTCAAGAGTCACTGGCTCGACTGGCTACTGAATTTTCATGGGTAATTTTGTAAATATATCACTCTCTCCGACCTGTTAAGTTATAATACACTTTTAAATCATGCAAGATTATGGCCTGATAGAAATGTTCATCATGTTAGCCGCTTAATGATGAAACCCGTGTCATGCCGACAATATCTTATTCTCATCTATTTTTGTAATCTTTTCCTTAGTTTCTTCATTTAAATTTCGGGCAAGTGAATGATTTTGTGGGCTGGTAACGTTCAGGCATAGCTAGCCCGACTGGCCAGCCCAATTCGGAAAGTATTTCGCACACTGTGACCAGAAGTGATCTCTGTAAACTATTTGCATTGGCGTTTGTTTTGGTCACCTATCAACAAGAAGTATTCCAATAAATAGTCAAGCTTTCGTTAAACAGTGAACATTTGGCAAATGAATCACAATCCCCTGCAAGAGTGTGCTTCATACAATATATGTGAAGATTAAGCCACCAACCACGTAGTCTGTGCCTTTGCACACTAAGTTGTCGAGAATGTCCATATCACATAAAAACAATCTCTTTTTGAACAAGGCTTCTTCCATGGACTGCCCTTCCAAGATTGGCTCAAGATCTTCCGATGTGACAGCGAGTCTGTGAATACACATGAACAAACATGGTGACACGCTTCCATGCTACGAGAACACGTCTAATGTATGAACATGTTTTCATTACTTATGTGGTTTATGAGTACTAAACAATACAATGTACACCGTACATTAACGGGACACTGCAGAGAGTTAAAGAACATCAGATGAATATCAGGTGACGACAGCGTGGGACATGAAACACCACGGTAATGTTGATGACACTCTACGTAATGAAATACTAAACGTGTGCGACGGAAATGGACGATGTAAAAGATCTGAGCTTGTACAATATCACTGTGCAATGCTCAGGGGGAACAAGAAAGAAGTAGAAAACTTACTTTTGTGGAATATCGGAACAAAGTCGAATGAGACAGGGACAGGGTCCGTTAAGCCTCTGGTATCCGAAGAACGAATCTTCCCTCCACAAGCGACTAGCCTTTCAACCGAAACATAATATACAACACTTTGTCATATCCTCACGGCTGCATGTTTGCGTTCACATTTAAAACACTGAGTGAGTGAGTGTAGTTTTACGCAGCGTTTAGCAATATTCCAGCAACATCACGGCGGGGACCACAGAAACGGGCTTCACACTCTGTACCCATGTGGGGAATCGAACCCAGACCTTCGACGTGACGAGCGAACGCTTTTAACCACTAGGCTACCCACCTCCCTTTAAACTTTGATAATACGTATACATTTACGTGTTGATACTTTGTGTACATTGAAACAAACTGTTCCTACCCATGGTTCGTTGAAGATTTTCCGGACGTAAACGTTCCTGATGCCATCAAGGCTCTTCCATCTGCCTGTTGTCAACATCGTGATGCTGCTCTGAGCTATCAGGTTCAGTTTTAACTTCTGTATATCCCACTGAAATATTTCAATCATTTTAAACTGAAAGTAATTATAAATACAAAACATCTGAACTATATATGTTTGAACACTTTGTTTTCGAATATCCAACAAAAAGATGTACACTTATCACAGGTCAGTTCCAGATATTACATATTTTGTTATTAAAGAAAATGTAATGTCGGTATTTTCTTCTAAGTTATGATCAAAGAACTCAAAGCTGCCTTTAATTACATTAAAGTAATGGACCGAACATAATACACGACGCTAAAAGGACGCAGACTCTCCTGCATTTATGTATGGTAAAATAAGTTGATCCAAAATAAGATCACTTACACGATGTTGGCTTGTAATCTGCTCTTCAAGAGGCAGATCCTTGATCTGTATGAACATAAGTAGGTTGTAAGTGAAGTGAAGCACCTACCAGAGAAGAGATATACACAAGCACAAATTAATTACATGACAAAACAGACACGCGTTATTGCGTCTCAACTGTATACGCCATAGGATACGAGGAAATAAAACAGATGTCGAAGACTTCATTATCTTCATCAACCCGCACGTGTATAAACTGCCACAAACCTTTAGCATGAGCGTTGGTTTCTACCTACATAATATAGTTAGAACGTTAGCAGTCACACTTCGGGGCAAGACAAACGGAGTATATGCTGAGAAAAGCCTCGTAAACATATGTTTTACATTACTTTTGAGGGGTTACATCTAAGGTAATTTTAAAATTTAACAATTATACAAGTCATCATTCATAGAAGTAATTTACAAGAAAGCTATTTTTAAAATTCTGATGAAAATGAGTGATGGTAACTCACCGAGGCCGGGAGAGCGACATCACTTGTGTCCACTACGTAGACTTTGCGCTTGTCCTCCAAGTCCAGCCTCCTCTGCTCCTGTTTGGCATCATCCTGTGGAAGGAAGGTGTCATTTTCCCGAAACACGTAGTGGTAATGAGGTCGCAGCCACCTGAGTACGGGGAAGATGTACACGTCGCCGTTAGACTTGTTCTCAACTGTGATTCTTTCAACGTACCAGGAACTTCCAAATCCAGAATCGTCACGGAATATTTCCAGTTTGCCAAGCTTGTTAATAAATTCAGTCTTATCCCTTGGCAGTTGAAACACATCCAGGTTCCCTCTTTCAAAGTCATTCTTGAAGGCATGGTTGAGTTGAAGCTGGTTTGTTGATGAGCCTTGCTCGTCGTGAAGTATAACAGACACATTTGCATCAGTACCTGCCCCTTGTACGTCCCCAGTCCGCACATGAATAACAAACTCGTGATTGAAGCAGGACAACATGTTTAAACAACGAACTCGCAGTAACAGCTCAATTACTCGCTGCTTTCGCTACGGCCAATGGCTTTCGTGGAGGCTGTTTTCGTATTCACAGGTTAGATGAACAATGTACAAGATCTCAGTCTTGATATATATTCGACTATAAAAGAACTGCACTATCTGAATGGCCGACAGTTCTAGAATGAGACGTAGATGCTTTGTTACTGTGTTACAGTGGAGAATGCATCCTGTAATATGACAACGGATACACAGCACTTGAATGACTGAACACGGATATAACACACAGCTGAGAGAGTGTCGTCTCAGATTGACGGAATGTATGCCGGCACTATACATGCTGCACAATCAGTATATAATGTACACCTACGTCTACAAATATGCTGTATACGTACATGTAGTGTGTGTGAGTATGCTTGTACCCCGCGTCTAGGTTATTTGGTTCGTTGTTTAACGCCACACTCAGCAATATATTCCAGCTAATTTATTTTATCAAATCTGAACCAGACAATCCAGTGATCAACATCGTGAGCATCGTTCTACGCAAATGGGATACGATGACATGTGCCAACCAGGTCAGCGAGCCTGACCACCCGATACAGTTAGTTCCCTCTTACGACAAGATGGGTTGCTGAAGATCAATTTTAACCCGGATCTTCACAGGTCCGCTTTTAGGAATATCACGGCGTGGTCACCAGAAATGGGCATTGTATCAGTGACGCGAGCCAACCCGGATATATATCATAGCATATTTAATCATCTGCATAGTAATCTGCTCAAAATACTACGAAAACATCATATCTATTTCATGTTTAAAGTTGATGCGACATAACATATATGGCTATGTTGTATTTGTTACTAAAGTGTCGATCGTTTGCCATATTGAATCACCAGTAAAATGAACTGACAAATCTCTACATCCATGAAATAATCAGTTGAGCCGACGGCGCAAGGGCTGGATAATTATATAATTGCAAACCTATTCTCAATTACAAGGAGGTCAAGGAGGGAAAAGGCCATTGGGAAATCACAGATAGGTTCCAAAACGATTCTCACTCCGTGGGGGATCCGAAACATAATATGTCTGCTGAATATGTAAACGCTGCCAGTTCAGAAACGTAATATTGGCGGAATATTTAATTAAATTGTAGTGTACGCTAATTTAGTTTGTGGAATGGGACTTTTCTGTTTCAAAACAACTGCAGCATAATACGCCATAGTGTGGTTCATGGACAATGTCGTGGACAAAAATTGGTTCAGTTTTGTATTGCTTCCATTCTACTTACTCAATTTCTTAAGTGATTGAATCTACTGCTGCTGCAACCTCCAGATCACTGAAGGTATGTTGTCTATTAACATGCATGTTACAGTGTGTAGTGTTGTCATGTCCATTAATCATGGAGAATTAACGTTGTGTGTTTTGGTTTCCAGAAGTTTACCTCGATTACTCTGGTAGTAGACTAACATTACTATTGTCTGCTATGAAGGAAGCCACTAAAGATTGCGTGGGCTCAGTCGTGTAGTGTACTTGGTCGTTGTGACTGAAAACAGCGATTGGGGTTCAAATCCTTATTCACAATTTGATTATATTTGAGCATGCAGATTTGTCTGCTATTTATGTAATATTGTAAATGTCTCTCAGAAATGGTAACTTGACTTTCATAGTCAGTTATCTCCCTTGCCTCGGGAAGCCATGTACATCCAAGTCCACAAACTGCTTTTCGTAGCCAAAACCATGTAACTCGGGTGTTGTTAAGCATGCTTGACAAAGTCAGATGTAGTTTCGGTAAGTGTAAAGCGTAAAGATACATATTGTTCTCTTCAGTGTCACTGTGCCAGAAACAAATGTATTTATTGTTGCAAAAAATCTTGGGAATAATATCATGTGAATCCGATAATAGTGGAGCGGCTAAAGAGATAAATTGTGCACTTTATGATAAAAGCATAAAACTTTGTAAAATGTATTGACTGGTGCATAGTGATCTTTTTCAAATATGGAGGCACTCAAAATAATTTCATTTTGCGCATGCGCAGAAGGTTTTGTTTGTTGTTAACGCCGTATCAGCAATATGCTATCTGGAAATGGTCTGTAAATAATCGACCCTGGACCAGACAATCAACTGATCGCCAGCTTGAGCACGATCTACGCAGCTTGGATACGATGATATATGTGAACGAAATCAGCGGGTCTGACTACCCGATCCTGCTGTCTAACCCGAATCGTCTTGGGTCTAAAATCAGCCTCCCACACACCCACGAGTTACACAAACGAGCCTTCACACATATACCCATGACAAGCCTACAGTAGAATGGTACACTCAACATAAGGAAGCTTGCTGTATTCGCTGTAAGAGGATGTGTATTGTTGTGGAGTGATTGAATAATGTCAGTGAGGATGACCAACCGATCCCATTAGTCGCCTCTTTCAAAAAGACTCATTCAAACTCGCATCTTCACGGGAGTTTGCAGAAGGTAAATACTACTTTGCCTTTTCTCACTACTGTTTTAGCCTTGGAAAGGCCATCAAAGCATTACGGGGAAATTTGTGATATATTATAATTACCCATATATTCTGGCGAAATGTCCAGAGAGTCTAGTGAATTTAAGTGAGGACTGTTTGTACTTGCATAGGTTGTTACACCCCTTTCTGCAGCCACAAGAGACAACCTCCTGACAAGACGTTGATGCAAGGTGAAGTGTCGTCCAGTAGGGAACATATGTACTTTCCTGCATCCAGGCTAAAGGCAGTGGAAGAATTGACTTACCCCATATATGTCCTGCCTGGTAAGGTGTTTTACATGCTGTACAACTGCTGCATGTGTTGGTCGGATGGCATGTTTAGAGCGTTACTGCAAGTACTACAGCAGCTGCAGCTACTGTTCGTAACATAAGCTGTTCATGGCCACGAGGAACATGAAGTATGATGTGAATATCGGTTTCATGATGACTGCAATTCCAGGGACAAGTGAAGACATATTCATCAAATATTTTGATAGTACCAGGTTTCAACTTTTGAACAGTGACAGCTCCGTCAATAATTAGAGTGGTAACAGTTGGCTCTTCTGATATTGCTGTAACATATTCTTCTATATGTGCCAACAGGTCACGTTTTGTACCAGTGCGAAAGCATCCATTTTCTGATTGGGATAGTGTGTGCTTTTCATGCTGATCAGAATCATCTAAATTTGACTGACGCCTAATGTACACTCTGATAAGAGTTCTACGTCACTCTTCATTGTTTCCAGCCCTTCTTTAATCCTTTCACATACTGTCACTGGACCTTGTCTGTCCACAAACTTTCCTTTGTAAAGGTCTCAAACTGCTCCTTTCCTATGGGTCTCATTTTCACATAATGCGATGGCCCCTGGGGTCCCGCTACAGTTTCCTAAAATGATTTAAAATACGGCGGTAGTAAAAAGCAAATTTTTTGACAAGGTGAGATGCAGATGTTCAGAAAAATATTGGCTTGCATAATGCAGGGATCTCCTGTCGCAATATTGGTGGTAACTTGTACACGTAGCTATAAGTCCACTTAAGAGGACTTTTGTGGCCTACGAGAAACCACGTGGCCGCCGGTGAAATAAAATGTCGTCGGAGTCCTGGCAGACTGAGGAACATCAATGAACATGATGATCGGGTGTAAATTCGTCTGGCAAGGCATCAGTATGATAAACCATGCTGAAGAACGCAATGGGGAGTGGGAGGCTCTCAGACAATTCATCGTTACCACCAGAAGGAGGCTGCGACGTGTGAGGGCACGTCGTCCGATCAGACGCCCCTTCCTCACAGATAGGAACTGGCAGAAACGTCTTGTGTGGTGCAAACTCCAAGAACTGCAACTTCAGAAAATGGTGTAGGGTTCATTGGTCTCGGTTGCTTTTTCTATACGTTGCCCACGTATAGAGAGGTAGTATCATCAGGCGATGATCTATGCAGCTGAACCGATCAGTGATGAGGGGGGATGGGTGGGTGGGGTTGCGTTTCGTATGCCTGCAGGCTGGATCTCAATACAAAACCTGGTAACACAAAGGTCAACGTTTTCGGCAGGAAGTACCGGATACGGCCATGGGGCCACATCTTGTTAACTTTGCCAATCGTCAGATATTCATGGAGTGAGTGAGTGAGTGTGTATTGCTTAACGCCGCATGAGCAATGTTGCAGCTATTCGCGGCGAGAAAATCTCTTTCGTTTTACAATACACTGAAAAGATATTCATGGATGACAACGCTAGTCCGTATCGTACCGTCATTGCCCCGATATAAACCTCATTGAACATCTTTCCGAAATGTTACATGCCAAGTTCGAGATGGACCTTATCCTGTTCAAAGTTTGGAATTGAGACATACACTGAATATCGGGAATGACAGAGGAATCAGATGCTAATAATACGATGGAGGTTGGCAGTATGATGAGGAGACTGACAGATGTTATAAGACCGAGGGATGGCTACACATGGTGCTGGTGTGGTCGCCTGTGGTGGTTCATACAACCATTGTATATAATACAGATTTGTAGAGGAAGTCATGGTGACCATACTTTCCAGCATTGTTGATGTTCACGTTTTTGTGTGTTCTTCTTAGATTGCAGTAATATGTTACCATGTTTCAATTGCAGTTTTGTTTCTGTTGAAATCAGAGTAAAATGTGTTACAGTTGCCATCTTAATCCGTGTAATTTTGGTTTTCAAAGCATATGCACCAACATGTGCTTTCGTACTCATCTAAAAAAAGTGGGTTATTGCATGATTAATGCTCATGGATATATTTCATAATGGCGTTGAGCATGAAGTCCAAATTCAATATCGTAACATGTCATTTGTAGCATAACTGCCACAGGGACTGTAAGCGAAGACGATTAATCTGTCACCATTAATGAGTTTTCAATTTCTAATAGAATATTACATAAACTTAGTGTATTATCATCAACCATCTTGGAAACTAAAACCTCATAATTTAATTATGCTGAAATGGCACTTTCTAAAGGAAACGTATAGAAAAAATTGTATGTGACATTGAAAAATCGAATTAGGCAAAATTGACACTGAATTGCAAAAATTTGATTTTAAAAAAAAATTATTAAACAATAAAAGTGTGGTTTAGTGATGTTTACTGGAATAAAATAATGATTAAATAATGACTGCTCCCTTGCGAAAGACAAATATGGATTTTCTGCCCCACTTGCCTTTGAGTCTAATAACTTAAAGATTTTATTGTTAAAAATATCCAAAACTTTAACTTATGAATTATTTGCCATATAATACATGTAATTTCAGTCAGTATTGATCAGATGAAACCATAACATACTTATCTCTTGTCATGGAGCTCCATATTCGAAAAACTGTCTGCTACCTGCCATTTTGGACGGAGGGAGCATTTATAGTTTGGGGATGTTTAATCTTAACATAAATGAACTATTTCTTCTCTTTTCCGGTACCTGTAAGTCATTAATTGTGAAATTATTGGTTTGTAATGATTGGCTGTGCTGACTATGTAAGAGGAAACATTGAAAATAGTGCACAGGCGCACAAGAACAAAATAAATATTATGTGCCTCCATATCTGAAATTATTTCACAAATATTCTTGAAAGTGATGACCAACTGTTGTTCTTTTATCATTGAATGCCCATTTTTAATGGAAACTATGCTCAGCCGCTTCACTATAATGTATCCAACCTATTTAAAGACACCTCCATCAACCTCGACATCTGGGACTAAAGAAATAGTTCAGCTTATCTGCAGTTTAAACATTTAGAATCTACTGACGTAGGTTGACACGTTACACAACACACAAACACTAATCTCAAACGCAAACTTAAGAAAATAAAACTTTGTACTAAAAACATGAAAAAAGAAGAAAAAAGCCAATTTATTTGACACATACAAATACAAGTTTAAACATTTAGAATCTACTGACGTAAGTTGACACGTTACACAACACACACACTTATCTCAAACGAAAACTTAAGAAAATTAAACATTTTACTAAAAACTTGAAAAAAGAAGAATTTTTTTTTTATTTGACACATACAATGGGGATAGCAGGTAGCAGTTTACCATGCCATAAAAACCCATGAACTTGATTTCCAGAAACTAACAGCTGTGAAAAATGCGGTATTCCCATAAACTTTGTATTCTCAGGATTTTTGTATTCTCAGGTTAGATCAAATTCAGTTCGAGGACATAGTTACAGCATAACGTCGATTTACAGCTTTACTGTTACAGTTCTAAGTTTGAACTCTCTTGTATCTTTTTTGTAGGAATATCATACATACATATATCAATACCAAAGCGTGGTTAGAGTACGTGCTGTGTTAATATTGTTGTGCAACTTTCTGTGTTGTGCAGACGTATCCTGGTATCAGCGGTTTGCATTACGTCTGTCACATAATGAGTGAGTGAGTGAGTATGGTATTACGCCCCTTTAGCAATATTCAAGCAATATCACGGCGTGACACCAGAAATGGGCCTAACACATTGTGCCCATGTGGGGAATCGAACCTGGGTCTTCGGTGTGATAAGTCATATAAAGTGAGAGTTTGGTGTCTGTCAGGTTTGAACAATATGTCAGTTTGATTCAAATATACCAGCATTATATGTTGATAAATCACGGGCCACAACAAGGGCGAATCTGTGACAACATCATCATAGGATTCTGCTACACTCAAGGGAAACAACTCAGTATGCTGGAATTTAGGCTCAGCCTATATACTGATGGAGTTTGGTATGGACTCAGGCAGGAGATAATCATAGGGCATGTCTAGAGACTTGTTCCTGTTTCTGATCGCCGTTCCAATACTCGCAAGGTCTTTCCGAAATCTGAAACATATGCAACATGTGCAAGGAACCCGTTGCTATAATAATACCCGTAATACTTGATGGCATGGTCTGGTAATACCAACTCGAATGTTTTAAAAAAGAGGTAAACACTTAGACTAAGGTCGTCATGAACAGTGACATAAGAACGTTTAAGTGTTGTTCCAGCTCTGATACGATGACATGCATCTAGTCAAAAAGTCTGCAAGAAAAGCTTCTGATCGTATAACGTCATTACAGAAGATGAACGTCATTCTGAGAATTCGTAGACTTCACAGTTTGGTTTTGTGTCAGCTGCTATAGCTTGTAAAGAAAACTGTCTATGTATTAGGAATTCTGAATAGATATTCCATTGCATCCATCTACCCTTGAAAATACTCACTTTGCAACAATTTCGGTTGCCTTAGGATCAAACACATATTGAACCTCAAAGTCGCCGAGACTGTTGACTCCCTTCTGGCTGAGTATTTTGGTGACGATCATTGCATCAAAGGTCTTTGCCTTGTTGGGTAGGGCATTCAGTATATCAGCTTCCGTCTTGGGAGTCTGAAATAGGCGCTCTGGAATGAATGGTTGATTGGTACGCAGAATGCACCCAATATTAGTCTGGCTGTTAGTTGGGTTCAAAGAATGAAAAAAATGACAATCGCAATAGAAAGTATATTCCACCCAAAATACATAACAGAACACCCAATTTTCATGTGAATATAGTAATGTGCTATGGCAGGTGGTTATTGCACCACACAATGTTCTGTTTTCTTCAGATCCTACCTTGTCCGCTGGAGGGTTGCCTTCAAGTGTGAGAGGGTATAATGGCGGAAAGCCGTAGTAGTCGTACTGGGGGAAGTTGACGGCGGCGTGCTGGACGCTGCAGGTGAAGATGAACGACGTCAACGTCAGGGTGAGGTCTTCTAAATCCCGGAACTTCCCATTGCCAGGTACTCCCTGCCAAAAGGTAAAATCCTCTCGATATAATAGAAATAGGTTTGTGAAGCATGTTAAGAGCAATTGAACTGTTTGCCAGGCATATTGTGATGACATGGTGTAGGTAAAGAAACCCACAAACAGAGTATATCAAATCTGTAACCTATGACTCAGTCCACGAGACCCTAAAGAAAAACATTTTGTGCTTCTTCAGGTTATGTTTTACGTCACTGTCCACGCGATCAAGTGCTGGGCTCAGCCGATACGTCCTTACCTGAATGTCCATTCTACCGTGTTCCCTACCTGAATGTCCATTCCACCGTGTTCCCTACCTGATGTCCATTCTACCGTGTTCCCTACCTGGATGTCCATTCTACCGTGTTCCCTACCTGAATGTCCATTCCACCGTGTTTCCCTACCTGAATGTCCATTCTACCGTGTTCCCTACCTGAATGTCCATTCCACCGTGTTCCCTACCTGATGTCCATCCTACCGTGTTCCCTACCTGAATGTCCATTCTACCGTGTTCCCTACCTGAATGTCCATTCTACCGTGTTCCCTACCTGATGTCCATTCTACCGTGTTCCCTACCTGAATGTCCATTCTACCGTGTTCCCTACCTGATGTCCATTCCCGTGTTCCCTACCTGAATGTCCTGTGTCCATGTCCACCGTGTTCCCTACCTGAATGTCCATTCCACCGTGTTCCCTACCTGAATGTCCATTCCACCGTGTTCACCGTGTTTCCCTACCTGAATGTCCATTCCACCGTGTTCCCCTACCTGAATGTCCATTCCACCGTGTTCCCTACCTGAATGTCCATTCCACCGTGTTCCCTACCTGAATGTCCATTCTACCGTGTTCCCTACCTGAATGTCCATTCTACCGTGTTCCCTACCTGAATGTCCATTCTACCGTGTTCCCTACCTGGATGTCCATTCCACCGTGTTCCCTACCTGAATGTCCATTCCACCGTGTTCCCTACCTGAATGTCCATTCCACCGTGTTCCCTACCTGAATGTCCATTCTACCGTGTTCCCTACCTGAATGTCCATTCTACCGTGTTCCCTACCTGAATGTCCATTCTACCGTGTTCCCTACCTGAATGTCCATTCTACCGTGTTCCCTACCTGAATGTCCATTCCACCGTCCTCCCGACTCTTAGCCATCTCTTTTGCCCAGGCCTGCATTTCTGTGTCGTCAAGGAGACGTTGGGGTGTCTCTGATGACAAAAACACACGATTTCTGTATTTCAATATCGTTGCTTTCCTGATCCTATCCTCGTTCTTAATGACGCGTTTGCTGCAGTTTAGCAATAAATGAATATAATAATACAGACAGTGTTTATTGCTATGGGTGCATGGACGCAACAGTTCATTCAATGCTTGACAGGTGCATGTTTATCTGAAGGTACAGGCACACAACCTTTCAGTCAGTGCTTGACAGGTGCATGTTTATACATGAAGGTACGCGCACACAACATTTCGATCATGCTACGGGTATGCGTAGGTGCATGAACACAACATTTTCTTCAATGCTTGACAGGTACATGTATATATGAAGGTACTCGCACACAACCTTTTAATCAATGGTATGGTAATATGAAGGTACTCGCACACAACCTATTAATCAACGGTATGGTAATATTAAGGTACACGACATGCATAGGTGTAACCTGTCACAATAATAAAATTAACTCACAAGGTAAAAACATTTCTTATTATTGAATAATACATTCAGCTTACCATAATACAGGCCAACGTAACTTGTAACGTAGGTTTTTATTGCATTGTACAGAAGTAGAGAGTCGTCACGGTAGTAGTACCCAGGAAGAACGTTCTCCTCGGACACCTAGAGAGATGGAAGTACATGCATGTTTGTTTAAACCGTCTCGCTGAACATGGATACTCCCAACAATATTAGCTTGTGTTTTACGAGTGTGTTACAGGGGTGCAGTGCTTACATATGTGATAATATATCCTTCTTATTACCCACGTGGTCAACGTATGGGTAGTTGCATACTAATCTCGTACGTCACACGAGTGTCGTATCGCGTTGACCTGTGTCGTAAGAACTTGACCTGAGATTCTAACGATTTGATTGGATAACCGATGACCTCTCAGTTAGGTCACGTTGTGACGGAACTACTTGTTCATTCATAACAAACACGTGAATTCATTCATTCTACAACTTAGATGCATTGTGGGAATGTAAACATTGCGAACGTTGCCGTGTCGCTGTTTAATTGTGAGTCGAACTGAGACATTATATCCGTCGAAAAACATAAACGCAATGTTTCCACCACTGATGTTAGCCGAGTGAAGCAGTTGCAAACCAAGAAACAGGGTGCTACGGAGTAGTTTACTGTAGGAGGCTGTACGAGAGGCGATGACAACTGACATGCATCGTGACGTCGGTTACCAAGGGGACAGACGAGAATGGCGTAGTGACGTCAATACAGTGTGACGTCATGCAAAAGTGTACTTCAGAAAAAAACATTCTTCCGCAACCTCTTTATGAAACCGGTTTCGGTTTGAAACCATAACAATAACGAAAATACGCTATTTTGTCAATTCAATGCATGTAAGACGTGGGTAAGAAATAAAATACCACACTCGGTCTCATAACATACGAATAATACGAAACTTGTGACCTTCCTATGGTTTCTGACCTCGCTTTCGCTCGGTCAGATACCATAGGAAGGACACTCGTTTCGTATATTTCGCGAGGTCAGAAACCATAGGAAGGTCACGAGTTTCGTATTATTCGTATGTAATGAGACCTCGTGTAGTATTCTCTATATATGTAACTCGGTTAAAGGTGTAGCTCGACTGAATGACCTTGTCGGCAGGTCATAGTTTCCTGTCACTGTTACAGTCAGGGGATGTTTGGATGAGACAGCTGACCTGAGTCTCAGCTAAGGCATGGACCTTATGATGGATGCATCCACACAGATATGCGACCCTTGCTCGAGATAATGTAGAAACATCATAAACATAAATGATAAAGACATGTCTGTGCAATCTTGTCGCGTTCTGAGTAATGTAATGGTAACATTTACACTTGATAACTGTCTATACCCATCCCATGAATTACTACCAGAGTGTACAATATCTCATCACATGAACTCACCCCTCTCCTTTTGAGGTCCTCGGGTAACGTTCCCTGGATGTCCATCCGCCAGTCTTTTCGCCTGGAAACAGGGAAGCTTAATGAGTGAGTATGGTTTTACGCCGCTTAGGGCAATGCAATATCACAACGGGAGGGGGAGGGGGAGGCGGCATAGTGTATAGACTCCAAACACTGTACGTCTGTTGGGATCCGAACCCTGGACTTCTGTTTGTTGTGCAAATGCTTTGACTACAAGGCTCTCCGGTCGGAAAGACAAAGATATGACATCACAGATAACCCTAACACCCCGCATTTGTGCTGGTTAGCCCCATACACCCCATACCTACCCTCGCTGCTAAAGGGGAATCATTTCTAAAAGACAACATTTTACCAACGTCTGTAATGAAATTATATGTAGCTGTATGCATTGTGTAACAGTCTTTAGACATATGTTCCAACTGCAGCATAATATTGATGTGGCTGGCTCTATCTGTAGAATTAAGTCCCGATCAGTAATGGGAGCAGAACTAAAATAGCAAGAAATAATGAACCTGAAAATGTCCTACCCTTTCCGATTCAGTCCCAACACACCATTCCTCCCGGCTGACATGGTAGTGTCGATCCATCCGTCAACAGACAGCAACTTCACCACAGCAAACCTATATTCATATATAACTCACCATCAGTTTGCCACAACATGTTTGTCACTTCTAGTCCAACTATGTATATGACAAACAGCTCAAAGTAAATACATATTGAATGGCAGCATAAATACAATAGCAGTACAATAAAAAAGCAGTGATGATGTAAATGTAATGGCATACGATATCATGCAAGACAATACAGACAGGAGATCCCCGATATGTATAGCCATCGACCTTGAATATGAATTGCTACAGAGTATGTCAGTTACTGCATTAAACGACCTGAGAAACTTATTTCAATTTCATCTTCTTTTTTTATCTATGTGACCATAGAGTCAACATTTCGTGTATTATATATTTATATATCGGGGATCTCCTGTCTTAATTGTCTTGCATAATATCTTATGTCATTATATTTTTACATTCACTGCTCTTATATTGTACTGCCATTGTATTTATGCTGCCTATTTGTGTTGCCTCTCTATTTTCTACAAAACATTCTTATTCCTTTATCATGTTTTATAATTGATTTGTATACTGATTTATTTGTTAACATTAGCATAAAACTGTTAATTCTAACACATTTCTTTGTTGTGTGTTCGATTCAGACCTAATTCTTTTCCGGTAAGCGTATTGTTTCTTGGGCTGTGTATTGGCAAATATATTGTATTTCAATATCTTGCGATTCGGGCACGCGTATTGCGATATGTATTGCGATATATTGGGAAGTGTTTAACAGCGAATGACACTATAGCTAATTGTACATGTCAATCCTATTTTCTAAATAACTAAACATATATGTTATGGTTCTGATAACAGAAATATAAAAACTAGGTTGCATAGTCATGCACTTTTTAAAAATACAATTTATAGTTTTACAGTATGCTTTTTTTTCCTTGAATAAAGCGCGAAACCATTTATAGTGAACTAAAGTACTAAGTATGTGTCGATTTTAATTTAAACCATAAAAATAATCACAAAAACTTGATATATGTTCTTTACCCAATATACCGGTTCTCAGAAAAAATATTGCAATACGTATCGTTTGAAAAAGCGTATTGCGATATACCGGTATACCGGTAATACCGTGCAGTCCTAATAGTTTCAACTTGGGAATCACCACATAACAATAGTTACATACTTGTTGATGGCGAAAATATACAGGAGATGCGGTGCCAGGAGTTTGAAGATTGGGTGAGAGATGGACACCTGCCTCTCAAGTGCCAACGCGACCCCTTCCATCAACAGATGGGTATATCCTGGAACAAACCACTGTGGCGGTTAGTACACGTTCTTCAAACTAACATTATTATCCTTTTTAAACCAGAAATGTAATTATAGTCATTTCCATGTCACTTTCAATCAGACTGTTTTAACTAAACATGTTTGTTGTACCATGGTACCTTGATGTTGGTGGAGTTACCTATATCGTGCATTCATACTTGCGTACCAACGACCCACCCAAGTATACCTCTAATAGATGTGCACGTGACCAATACCGTGAGCATGGATCCCCGTACCAATGATTGCCGCCTACATCTCAAGTGTAAGATCATGTAAAGAGCGACTCGGTTAGAGCCAAGGAAATATGATAGTTAACTTGTTCAGGGAGTCGTTCAGCAGTCGCTGTTGACTCCAATGAAACAGACACTGTTTAAACCTCGGATATGACACGCCCAGACCGGGAAAACAAACCAAGACACATCGACCGCCTCCAATACACGGGTGTATAAGGACAAACTGACAGTGCAATGCTGAAACTTGAACAACTGAAGACCACAGTCCCTTCTGGGACCTCCAATGTTTGGTATAGGGACTGACCAAGATGGACCAGCGACTGGTGGTAGGTGGCCTCTGCGTGGTTGTACCACATCTTCACCAGCTGCCACGTGTTCGGGTCGTCGGATGGTAGAAACACCTGTAACACCGAAAGGTGTGCTCAAATATACATCGAAGAAGTATATTAAACACGATCAGTAACATGAGTGAGTGAGTTTTGTTTTACGCCGCTTTTAAGAATATTCCAGCAGCATCACGGCGGGAGACACCAGAAATGGGCTTCACACATTGTACCCATGTGGGGAATCGAACCCGGACCTTCTAATCTGCAGCTACAATGACATAACCCTGATCCACACAGCATAAGGACGGGATACAGCAACTGTTATTTTTGAGGCTATACGCGGCCAGCAACCATCGTTTGACAGCTGTGCAAGATGACATGGACTTAAAGCATCACACTTAAGGACATGGGAATGAATCGTGTTTCGAGACGCCATTCCCTCCATCAAGGAGACATCGTCACGGTAATATGACCTGTCCCAATGGACATAAAAAGTCCGTTATGGCCTTCCGCTAGAGAGAGCGTTGAAGAGTAAAATTTCTTAAGTTTTGCCGTAAGGTATTTAATGTTTAGACAGCATGCATTACGAACAAAAACCGTTTACGCTTTGGCCTGTGCAGTTAGGGTTCAGCGAGGGTTTAGCGTGTTAATTCTTTATCCAGTCAACAGGTGTACATGATTAATCTAAATGACAGAAATGTTGACATAAACATACACAGGTAACTATGACGAACATGCACGTGATGCATCTGAGTTTAGGCATCTGGTAGTAATTAATCAGTTTCCTTTTCACTGGGTAAATTGTGAAGTTGAATTTTTACCAGGTTGTCTTGTTTCTTATTTGGATATTTACAAAAATCATGCTTATGATAAAGAATGGGACGAGGACTTAACATATTTAAACGAAGACGTAATGGAGATATTGTGATAAGATAAAGCATGAAACGTTAAGTGAGTGAGTGAGCATAGTTTTACGCCGCATTTAGCAATATTCCAGCAATATCACGACAGGGGAACCAGAAATGTACCCATGTGTGGAATCGAACCCGGGTCTTCAGCGTGACGAGCGGGCGCTTTAGCCATTAGACTGACCCCGTTAAGCAACTGTGTGGTAGGTGTGCTGTCCAATGTGTGACGACATCGTGTAGTTGCACATCATAATCGCATACCAGATCCTACACAATATTTGCTATTGCAATGAACATTAAATGTTTGTTTTAACAGCGCGTGGAACAACATTTCAGTTATATCAAACCGCGTCAGCTCTGTGTGGGAGGAAAACACAAAGTGCTGCGGGCCTTCCGCCATCTGTATGGTGCTGACAATAGTGAATAGTCAGTTCCAATCTAACTGGTTGAACTACATAGGATTCTAGTATATCTAAGTGACGCAACTGTGCACTGCGAGTTGTGTTGCATCAGACACACGTTGACAGGGACGTGACAGTTACCGGGTTGGTAGGTCCTGGCTCCTGGAACAACTGTATGGCAACTGGGAGGAGTCGACCTTGATTGTCCCGGTACAGCAGAAGGATGGGAGCGCAAACCTGCAGCAAGTCATTTGGTCATGATAATAACAAAATATTACTTCGCTTGATACTTTCAGTTGCGTTGAGACTAATGGTGTAACGATTCATCGATAGTATCGGTGTTTACATCGTCAACTACACGGTACGAGTGGATAGATACAAAACACATTCAGGCAATGTATCAGGATATTTATATCGCGAGGGTCCATGATACACCGATGTATCGCCACAACAGACGATATATCCCGATACTACTTCAATACTACTTAAAGTTGTAAGGAGTATTGCAATAAGAATAGGAAAGGTGTCGCTTTGATATTCTTCTGAAATTTAAAAACAAATTGAACCTTAAAGGAATTTTTGTTTGTGTCTGTTATCTCTGTTACATGAACAAAGGAGTTGGTGTATAAATCACAGAATGTGAACAGTTTACAAACTCTGTGAACTGAGAATAATTGTCTTCAAGTAATTGAAATATGCAGATATGTTTTAGTTGTTTGACAATTTATTTACAACTAAGAAGGACGTCTTAGCGTTGTTAAGAAAGAGAACAAAGAGAAGATAAACTTTAGAAAGCAGACTTAAGTAATTCTGAATGCTGATATAAATCAAATTTAGATTGAGCTGTTTGTGAAAGCATTGGTGTAGCAACACAACTCCCCAAGGGAAACTTCACTTTCAGATATATATATTATTTAAGGATTTACTGAATATGTTTGACTTTCGTAAGCATTAAATGCTGAAACTTGATTAGATGAACAGCTTTTTAAGTGTGTGTGACTCTATGTCTCTAGTTGAGACAAGGTAAACCAAACAGGTGCTAAAATGCTAACTGTGGAGGAACTGACTAGTGGCGCTGCAGCAACAATGGTGTCTCACCAGTGGAGGTTTGATATGCCATACGGTCATGTCTTAGCACTGCAGTGATTTCAAACTTTGAAGACTGATATACATAATTAATGGTTTCCTTCCTTCTATTACCACCACTACCACCATAGTCCTATATCATCACAAACCGCACGGTCTTCACTTCTGCTTTCGAAGTTGTGGAGAATTTTCAGATCACAAAAAGAAGAGTCGCTTATCACCCAAGGCTTCTTCAACAGATCTCCCTTCCAGGAATGGCTCGATGTCTGCTGGTGTAACGGCAAGTCTGTGAATATAAGTACAAACATGAAGCTATACAACATATATTGTACCTGTACAACATACATTGTAGCTGGAATATGTGTGTGATGATCAATAACAAAATTGTACATTGCCTAATGTAGTCTGTGTTGACATGTTTCAAGGTAGGTGACATACGTGAATATACAAAATCGGGGTCGTAGAATTAGCTTCCCTGAAGGAAATAATAAGCGTGGTAAACGGATCTAGTGGGGTAAACAGGAGGAAATGGACTCGCGCAAAGTCACGACAGTATATACATGATATCGCATTTTGTGAACGTGTTACAATATTTGTGGAAAACACTCACTTTTGTGGAATGTTAGAACAAAGTTGAATGAGCGTAGGGCAAAGGCCGTTGAGTCTCTGATAACCAAAGAACGAGTCGTCCGTCCAGGAATAGCTAGTCTGTAACGCGTAGACACATGACGCATTTAGTCAGCAATTTATACGCCCACACAAACAAACACATGCACACACACACACTAGAAACCGCCCCACAAACAAACACACAGACACTAGAAAACACCACCACACACACACACACACACAAACAAACACATACACACACACTAGAAAAATCCCACCCACACAAACAAACACATCACACACACACAAACACATCCACACACATGCACATAGAAAAAACCCAAACAAACATATGCACACACACACACACACTAGAACCCCCACAAACAAACACACATGCACACACACATGCAAAAACCCACACAAAACAAACACACGCACACACACACACACACACACTGAAAACACACACACACACACACACACACACTAACTAGAAAACCCCACACACACAAACAAACACATGCACACACAAACAAACACACAAACAAACACATGCACACACACAGAAAACCCACACAAACAAACACACACACACACAAACAAACACATGCAAACACACACACACACACACAAACAATAGCACAAACAAACACTACACACACACTAAAAAACACCACACACACAAACACACACACCCCCACAAACAAACACATGCACACACACACACTAGAAGAAAAACCCACACACAAACAAACACATGCACACACACACACTAGAAAAAACCCACACACAAACAAACACACACTGAGAAAAAACCCACACAAACACACACACACACTATCTCCCCACACGCAAACACATGCACACACACACACAAACACACACACACACACAACACACAAAAAAACACAAAACAAACCCTTCACACACACACACGCGCACACAAACAAACACATGCACATAGAAACACATACACACACACGCGCACAAAGAAACACACATATGGTTGGTTGAAGATCTCCCTGACGTACACGTTGCTTATGTCCTCGAGGCTCTTCCATCTGCCTGTTGTCAACATGGTGATTTTGCTCTGAACTATGAGATTCATTTTCAACTTCTGTATATCCCACTGAAAGATGCATGCATTAGTCAATAAAACAAAATCTGAAAAATATTCACGTGAAAAGACAATCTCATCTATGTAAGACAAGATGAATTCCACAATTGGGACAAATCGAAGTTATACATGTATGACCTCACGTGAAATACTGAATACAGTCTTGCGACAGTCTTCTTCTACAGAGGGGCCAAGGTTGAATTCGACCTAGGCATTGAACTAGAGATTAATGACATACTAAGTAAGTACATTTATATCGCGATGCACATGCGATTATTCAGACTTAAACAAATAATTTATTAGATCATTAAACGTTAAACAAATAAATTGCCAACGGTGTCGTCCACGTGTGTAAGCTGTTAATTTTATTACATTATATATAAACATTTGCAAAATAAGTAAAAGACATTCCAGTACTCTTTAATCGCCGGATGAGACACAACTTACCCTGTATTGGCTTGAAAACATCTCCTCGGCAGGCAAATCCTTCACCTGAATAAACAAAATACAATGGACAATGAAGTAGTTACGCATGCTTATAATGGAGGCAACCGTTTGGCATATAAGAACATTGTAAGAACGTGGATGAATTACATAACTGACTGATCAGTATATCTCCCCGACAAACATGTACATAATGGAAGACACACTAAAACACCGCTGTGTCGAAGATGAACGAATCTACGTATGTAGACAACATGATGACTTTGAATACATAAAGACAATGTGTTTACTTTGAGATAACCATGAATTCGACACATCAAAGCTCGACACAACGGCGTTTCACTTTATTCAGACTCTCTTGTCATGAGTTACAATCACCCATTGGATTGAAATCCACAGTGAAGAAAATGATTTCCCCAACGTTGAAGGGTGTTTTACACACAATGTTATCCTAATCAGAGATTCAGAGATGGTAACTCACCGAGGCAGGGAGAGCGACATCACTGGTGTCCACCACGTACAGTTTGCGTTTCTCCTCCAAGTCCAGCCTCCTCTGCTCCTGTTGGGCATCATCCTGTGGAAGGAAGGTGTCATTTTCCCGAAACACGTAGTGGTAATGAGGTCGCAGCCACCTGAACACTGGGAAGATGTACACGTCGCCGTTAGACTTGTTCTCAACTGTGATCCTTTCAACGTACCAGGAACTTCCAAATCCAGAATCGTCACGGAATATTTCCAGTTTTCTTAGTTTGCCTAAACCTGCAGTCTTATCCCTTGGCAGCTGAAATACATCCAGGTTCCCTCTTTCGAAGTCATTCCGGAAGAAATAGTCGAGATTGTGTTTGTCTGTTGATGAGCCTTGCTCGTCGTGAAGTATAACAGACACATTTGCATCAGTACCTGCTCCTTGTACATCCCCAGTCCGTACATGAATAACAAACTCGTGATTGACGCAGGACGACATGCTGAAATAACAAATTGAGTATTGAAGAGAAACAACGCTCGTTCACCCTGTTATGACAGTGTCACGGAAGTTTGTGTCGTAGGCACTTTGATGGGGTATGGGTTTTATCGGGAAATATAGACATGTTTGTATATTCTCTGAGTTAAGTTAAAGTTGTGTTATCTAAATCTAAATCACAGTGCTGACAATATAAATGAAATATCAGCAGCTTATTATCATGACCATCAGCACAGCAATGTACAGATCAGCTGCCTGCGTGTAATTAACCCTAATTAACCTTAGAGTATGGCCGGTTGGCCACGGAAGCTTAACAGTGGATGAGGTGCATGCTTGATACTGCAGGTTGACCATACATGTATCGTAATACGATACAGGGCATCCTGACAGTCAGTAGCATATAGACAACGTATTCTAATGTAACGGGACTTGACCCTCGGACAGCGGCTAGGCAGGTGGGCTGACGATCGCCTCTGTGATGCTGCCTGGCGTTGCTACGCTATCATGTAATTGCATACTTAGCTGACAAATAAAGTGTTGTGGACCCACTGATGGACTTCTGCGTTTGAAGAGACAATATCTCACACAACCATCTAACAGCCCGGGATACTTGTGTCACTTCTACGCCGGTTACTCACTCTGGATACAGTTAGGAATGGGAAGTATGTGCTCATCTACAACTATATCTCAGCCTCAGTGTAGCGCACTTCAAGTTGTCATATTACACCAGGATATTTAATGTGACATATTTCTCACACACTTGGTAATATTCTACGTAGCACGTTGACACACGAAGGTAGTTTTTCTCAGTATAACAAGCATTATGAATTGGGTAGCTGAAAGTGTCAGTTTAAAGGTTCGAGTTCGGATCTATTTTAACGGTTAGGTACTACATTCCGAGTGGAAATATGGCCTATTTGTATTTGCAAATAGACAGAGGTAAATATTGATACTAAAGCAGCGTTCAAAAGCGTTTTTATTTGAATGAGTATTCAATGCACGGGTAAATAATACTTACAGCTCTGAAGGTGAGCCTGTGCTTCTCCGGCCATTTAAGTCCAAATAACACAAAGGTCTTACAATATAAGTATATAAGATCACACACACACACGCGCGCGCACGCACGCACGCACGCTCAAAAGACAAAAGCTGAAAATCCTTGATACAGATATAATTTCTTCCATTCTAACCGGTTTCACATTGTCAATATGATCATCATGAGAATCCATTTATATAATATAGAGTGAGTTTGTACTGATTCATCGATGTGATGTATTACCCCAGATTGATTGACAGATTGCTTTGTTGATGTTTTCATGTAAAACACATATTTTTCATGTTGTCGGGAACAGTATGTGAGTAGTTGCAGACTGAACAAATGTTGTTAGTTTAGAGTAGTTACAATCATTCCTCGTCGGTTTATATGACGTTGACGCAAGCGTTTCCCTTTCACAACTAAGAAGTGTTCAGTGCGCCTGAGCTCACCGTTGATCCATTCATTCCATGGATGTTGTGCTGCTCGAGGTGAACATTGGTGGACGTAAGACAAAGCGCCGACCCACAATGCTTTGCAAACGGGACAAACAAGACCCTTCATTGCACAATATGGAGAGGTGCTCGTCATATCGGGCTATCCAACACCACTAAATCTGTCATGACACTGGACTAGGCTAGATACAACAATGCACATCACGGAAGGGCAACATGAAAACAAGACACATGACTATCGACGCTCACCTTAGTTAGACGTGCGTTGGCAATATTCCTTGTGATTTGCTCGGAAGTTATGCATGGGTGAGCTGCACGTAAACATATTCCAATCACCTGACCCCTGACTCATACTCCTGGGGCATGAGGAAGTTACAGCAGTTTTATTCACAACTCGAGCTCGATTTTGTAGAGCTGAATCAACCAACTCTTGTCATATATAATGAATCATAAGGAATAACCGAAAACAAATGAAAGTGTCCAAATCTGGAATGACACCCTACGCACGTGTTTGACGTGTTTGCTGCATGCGGCATGTGCAAATAAGGATGTGTTTTGTTCTCACGTGTGACAGACAAACATTCGTGCATAGGATATTTGTCAACACTCTGTTCCAATACTCGATAATTCCATACATGTTTCATGATGTCTTACTTTAATACCTATTCCATATAGGTAGGATTTCATATGTGTTGTGTTATTATTATTGTGCAGTCATTATAACGTTTGTGTATACAGTTTCCCCCATCCTCCAGCACACATACCCATGTGGTGGGACACAGTACATTGTCGGGTGAAATAATTACTGCAGACATCGTGGAAATAGTGACAAGAAACTAATCTAACACTTACCTCATTCAAACATAGAAAAGCCCTATAGGTCGGTGAGTATGGGTCGATGATGTTGACGCAGATGTGTAGCGGTATAGCTGTTGGTATCGTCGTGGCAGGTTTTATACAGCGACTGCCGCTTTTGAAAATAATCAGTGTCATGCCCCAAATAGCACATTCACAGGCGTCATTCACACACGAATGACCCAGCCGAGGTCATTGATTGATATGTCGGACGCTACCTGTTCAACTGGAACATGTGCTTTCATGCAGAGAGGAGTTTTATCGGTATAGACTAATATAAATGTGAATGTACAATAAACCAACCCTTCTAGTTTTGTCACACGGTACTGATGGGGAATATATCCCCAACGACGAAGTCCCGACCAACTACAGTGTACACGACATCCCTCTCCTGCCCGCACCCCACCCAACTCTCACATGTACAGAGGTCTACACCAAAACTGAAGCTAGAGATTACTTTCTGACAAGACAAAAAAATCCTCGGTGTGTTAGAGGCAGGCTAGGAAATGAGATTAATGGTCAACTGATTTCAAAGCTATAGTCTGTTCCACATTTACTCGGTGAACGGTGTGATTGAAGTATTGTCAGTTAACAGTAGATGGCCTGTGTCCACCTATCAACCATGGTTTATGATGATATGAACTTGCTGGTGTGGACATAGGGATCGGTCACTGATCAAAGGGTGCTCTGGGGTGAGACGCTCTGGTGGAAACATTTCGCCACTGCTTTGTCATGAGAGTTGCCGTCAAAACTTCCATAGTCAAAACTTCCATAAATCGCTTCCACTCATCCGAACAAAGTTTCACCGAGGTAACGATCCTCCAACGGACCGCTCACACACACCCAGGGAGGAAATGTTCTGACTGATGGACGAGTTTGTCAAGCGAGAGTGACCCTACTGCAATAGGTCACTCTTGCTTGACAACGGTATGGGTGTTTATACCGAAAATACGTGTCATACCATAATAAAGACGTCATCCATAAAGTATCATACCTTCCTTATTATTCATCATCTTTTTAAATACCAATCAAACAGATTATAGCCTTAATCCACAAGATTTATAAGGATTATCTAGATCAGGGGATATTCATGAGAACATGATCTACCGGTACAATGGGGACACCCCGTTTCTTCACGTCATCATATACAGATGTTTGGTGTGTATTTGATTATTATCTTGAAAACGCTTACACTCTCATTTATCTATTGCCATGGCAGTTAAAGGAATAATTCATAATTCATTATACCATTTTATGTGTCAAGGGAACTTGTCAGGAACGAGTCAAGCTTAGATTAAGAATCACGTGACATCATGGATGCAGGTCCCGTGGACTGTCACACAAATACATAAAGTATACATACTGCACAAAGCAGACATTGTGAATTGGCTAAAAATACAATTTGAGAACAAGCATAGGACCGGCAACGTAAGAACCTTGAAATGACCATGTTATAGAGCACGTATTATCCCGGTGTTGCCGCTGTTACCACCACGACAGCAGTGTCAGGTATATGTAACATTACAAAACCAGCATGTACGTATTGCATTATATCTAATGGAATGCAAACTTATGTACTGCAAGGTGGGCGAGTTGTCTAAGGCGCCGCGCTAGTAAGCGAAAGGTGCCTGGATTGATCCCCACTTGTGTCCAGGTGTAAAAACCTTGGAGCTAACATTACTTGCAGGCTCTTTCAGTGTTGTGACAACCCCTAGTGTACAGTACACAACCCTGTGCACTTAAAAGAACCCACTCATCCGATGGTAGGTGAGCAGATGGTGGACACACGAACACGTGCAGACACCTCGTTGCGGGTATAGTAACGTGCAGTATCATTGGACAAAATACAGTAGTATATACAATGATAGTCAGAGATCAAGTCCAACAAAAGCCTCTGTAAAGCTTTATTTCATTAATAAAGCTTTTGTCAGGCCCTTAGATCTCACCCCCATCGTATATACTACTTTTGAATCCCCAGTTAACTTCCCGGCCACACGTGACACAATAGTGTCACTATGACCGTGAACTAGCACTTTCCTGATCACGTGACACTATGTCGCGTTGACCTCGATGAAACAGTTTAATGTGAATCGCCTATGATCTCTTTGGTGTTCGTAATAAAGGCTTGCTGGGCTTTTCGTACTCCCTGTTCTATGTACTTTTTTTCTCGTCTTCGCTGATAGCGGACTTACGATCTTACAGTACTTGTCGAGTTCAGAGAGGATTGAACGAAATTCCTCCTCTGAGATCTTACTGTCAGTGAGTGCCGTGGAAATACGCTCACTTACCGTGTTCAGCTTTGCTTCGGCCAGAACCCTGATCTCGTCGTGTTTCAACGCTTTACGATGCAGTCTGCGGGATGCAAACTTAAACACCAACCCCATCAACCCTGACACCCCAGCTGTTATTTCCAATGCCTAGCACTATAGGTGCGGCCACGATGGTAGCTAACAACCCAACACCTGCCGCCCCTAGTCCCATGCTGGTTGCCATAAGGGTAGTATCAGTCCGTCCACGATATTGAAAGCTCTATGGTACTTCTTATATAGTGCTTTCCGCGTGTCGCGGTCTTGTTCTAGTTGGCGTTTTACATCACATAACTGCCTCAAGCGGAATCCGTCTACGGTTTCCAGTGTCTTCGCGACTTCCTCTACGACTGGGTACAGGCCCATCCTGTGCATATAATATATTCTAAAAAATATCTTTAAAATGTGCGTAATTTACTTTTTGCACAGTGTATTTGAAGCTTATAAGGTTTAGACCACCGTACAGGGAAATAGGTGAGAGGATAATAGGTAACTTTGCGTCCACACGAACATCATCGAGGCTTACTGAGGGGACTATAGAACCCGTTGAGGGGTCCGGTTGTATGACGATACGGCACGTTCGCCCGTGTGTAGAGTGCCAAAGTGTATTGTCACCCCGGGTAAAGGTCGCCGTTCTGTATCATCAACCAACCCGAAGTAGACTTCTATGGCGAGTGTGGAGCCTGGTTTCACAGTCATAAGGTCCAATTGGGAATTGGGGACGTCAAACCTTAACTCGTTCTTCCGGCTTGAAACTAACATGTTACCCGTGTGATCCGGTATTAGCTGAGTACTTATACCATACTTCGGAATGAAAGCCCTGAACAAGATACCATTGTTCCTAATGTCGGAGACATACCTATCTTTGTCTAACGAGATATAAAGTTCGGTGAGGATCATGCTCTATAAAGTCGTCTGGTTGCTCACGGGGCACGCGCCGTTTTACCAGGCCGCGCTGGGTGATAGGCTTGAATACGAGCTCACGTTTAACGACTACAGCAAAGTCGTGCGTACGCCGAACGGTGATGAGGCCAGTTACGCCATCGACAACATCTCTCTGGAGTTCGACATGGTCACTAGCCCAGAGCTGGCCAGGCAGGTTCGAAACCAGTACTCGGGGAAGGTGGCCATCCTGTACGACCGCATACTGAGGCATAGAGCGGTCGTGCGGGATAAGAGCGACACGCTGTGGAACATCAACCTAAACGTGCCGGCGCGATCGATGAAAGGTATCCTGATCGTCCCCGTGGAGGATTACGAGCCGTTCCGAAGGGACAGCGAGAAGTTTTTCAACCCCGCAATTGAAAAGGTGGAAGTGACCATCGAGGGCGTGCCCAACCAGCTGTTCAGCGCCGGTATGAGGGCACACCAGCAGTTGGACGAGATAACGAAACTACCGACCCGGCACCAACACGTCATCAAGGACCTGGACCTATCCTCCGTGCAGATCGGTGAATACCTGACCACCAAGTACGCGCTATGGTTGGACATGCGATCCACGGACGATGATAAATTGCATGGCAGCGGCCGCCGTATCGACAACGGCAGCGAGGGGATAACAATCCAGATTACCAAGAAGGCTCAACCCGCTGGCAAGTTGAAATTATATCTGTACGTGATTATGGACGCGCAACTTACGAAGGAGGGTTAATATAGACAATGGGAGATTCGTGCAAGCCATCTATTGATGGCGGCAAGCCACTGCCTGCCGGCGGCGAGCCATCTATTAATCTACCCCGCGACCCGCACTGCGCCATAGTGTGCGGGCAGACGGGCTGTGGGAAGACCGTTTTCGTGCTGGATATGCTGGAGGGGTACTACCGGGATGTGTTCGACAATATCGTTATCATGTGCCCTACTCTGCACATGAATAGAACGTACACGGAAAGACCTTGGGTGATGACGGACCCGGACGTACACAGAGTCGACCCGGGAACACGTCTGCAGGACTGGTTGAAGGCTTATCACAACAAATTCAAAGGGGAGCCGACGCTGTTCATACTGGACGACTGCAGCGCTAATCGCGAGATAACAAAAAAGAGAGACATGCTATCGTACCTGGCCTTCTCCGGCCGGCACGCAAAGCACAGCGTCTGGGTGCTAACGCAGAAGTTCAACTCGGTGTTGAAAGACCTCAGGGAGCAGACGCGATGGGTGGCCTTATTCCACTGCAAGGACAGAGATTCGTTCGAGGAGTGTTTGAGAGAGAACGATGTGATGAGCAAACTAGAACGAGAACGTGTGAAGAAACAGCTCGCTGAAACTAAACATGCTAAGCTCGTGCTCAAGACCGACCAACCCGTGGCCTATAGGGTGTTTTAGCTTAGCAATGCTCAGCAAATGCTTAGCAAATGCTAAGTAAAACTTAGAGTTTAGCAGTTATAGTTATGACTTTTTTGAAGTGTTCATCGTGTGCAACTTAACCTTTATCTCGCTATGTTTCACCTGCATCGGGTATTATATTATTAAAACTAAAACTTGCTTATTACATTATAAGATGGAGTGTGATGAACTGCTCGAACAACTGTTGGTTCCGCAGGATGCTGCAGGATCAGCAGTGACGATCCGATATGGTCAGTCAAAACTTACAACATAGATAAAGTGGACATCAAAGTTGACGAGCCGAACTTGTACTACTTGAAAGATGGGCCAGGGAGAGGTTTCGTTAGAGAGGAATTATTAGTCATACCGTACGGCACAATGTTACCCCCCAAGCAAAATATTTAACACTTACTGTTGAGTAATCCCAATAGTATCCTGTGTCCTAGTCCACCCAGCTGCAAATGGGTACCTTGTGAGGATGAGTCTGTGTGCTTCACAGGCTGCATGAGTTGAATACTCCCCAGGGAGTTGAGTTGGTTAAAAGAATGCCAGAAAAAAGGCATCTGTTGATCAAGGGAACACTCAAGCGCCTTGAGAAGGTACTATATAAATATCCTAACATATTAATAATAATCAGCACAAGACAGTGATAGGCCCGCGGCAACATGTTTCAAATGGTTTTAGAAAAGACGATGTTTCGTCAGAAATCTTGACGAGAATAATAGTTTTCCATTTAGTATCTATTCTATTGCCTGAAGAGTAAAATCTGCATAAGTTTGTGTACACAGCACCGGCATTACCTCACCCTCACGGGGTCGCAGAAGACCATTTTATACAACATACCATGACCATGCAATATCCAAGTATGTGTATCAATGTTAGTAAGTTCTATGAATAACACAACAGCAGTCTCGGGAGTTGTAACTTGTAACTTGACATCTCAGGACAGGATGCTGGTACGTAAGTCCCAAAACTTGCAAACTAAATTTAGCTCCAACAAGCTTTCAATTGTCGTATGTTTGTTGTTTTAAGTAATGGCAAAAATTCAGTACAATTCCAAGCGGCTGAAGGGATGGTGTAAATCCAGCTAGGGTCCATGCAGGTAGCAAAAGTACTGTAAGTCCCCATGGTCCCTGGTATGGTGATCTACCTTCATTTGCTGGCGATACTCAGCTCGGTTTTACACTGTAATGTCCTAATTTCAAATTCAAGTTTAGAGATAGATGCTAGATTTAATTCTTGATACTGTGATATTCTAGTTGGTTTTATTGTCCTTCGTCGACAGGTTTTAAAAAAAATGTATGCATTTATCATGAATTTATAAATATTCAAACGCTACGTACTCAGATACTATGTAACCGACATGTGAATACACCTGGTCTGTTTGTCTGTCCGTCCGTCCGTCCGTCCACCCATCCTTCCCTCCTTCCCTCATTCACTCTTGAGCTCAGGTTAGGTAGATAATATGTCGTGTAAAAATAATTTACTTCTGTGTCATGCACAGGATTGATCAACATAAAAGTAATGACACACAAAAGCAAATGGATGCACAGTGATGAGAAATACAACAAGGATTATCTCCCTTGCACTAACAGCTAACCGTCCTTGTAAGCTCATCATTCGCTCTATGTTCGTAAAATCACAAGCTGGCATCCAACTCTGGCCATCATGATCAGTATATATGATTAAGATATTGAGAAACATGTTTGGAACAGTGAAAAATCGAAACAGTGCAGTTGTCAGCTTGAACGGCGCTCAACTCCACATGAGAAGTTGGTTTGCAGCACTGGAGTTTCATGTGAAAAGCCGTCCAAGTTTGTGGAAAGTGAAGATGGATTGAATTGGTTAAACTAATCAAACAATAATAATCAGTCTGATGTACATACATGTATATGAAAAGCACCTCCCCTGTTCTCCACTTTATGCTTTATGCCGTGGAAGTGAACCGGAACGAAGGGAAGTGTTTTTAGACTAAAGTGGATTACACCCAATGAACTTATTCCAAAGACAGTTTGACATTTTGGTGGGATTTTAACAAACCATAAATAACAGTAAACAACACGATAACAATGCAGAATACTTTGCAAATTTTCTATTTTCTAGGTTAAATAAACAAACATCTTACGATTAACTGAACCTAGAAAATTACATTGTCTCGATTTCTCCTCTGCAAACCGAATTAAATATAATAACTGTACTTCGACATAACTGTACTCCGACCTGTTGGAACAATGTGTAGATTTCGAATATCACTTCACAACTTTCGAGTCAATGGTATTAGTAATTGTCAAATATACCTCACACTGTGATAAAATCAGCATGTGACAAATAATGTGACCTTCAGTTGGTAAAAAATGAGCGAGTGAGTGAGTTTAGTTCCACGCCGCTTTTAGCAATATTCCAGCAATTTTTATATTCACACATTGTACCCATGTGGGGGATCGAACCCGGGTCTTCGGCGTGCCGAGCGAACGCTTTAACCACTAGGCGTTATATTTATCGTTCCTTCTTAATATCAGCAAATGTTCATATGTTTCAAGTACCTGGAGGAAGCTGGACCATTATTATCGGGTGGGTCTGTAGGCCTCAATGGAATATTCCTAGAAGCGGCGTAAAACCCACTTCACATGCTAACTGTAGCTTCATAGTGTTCACAGATCATTTGCAATGCTGCAGTTTCGATATCGTCATGTGTAATAGCAGGAAGTTTTCACACAATACGTGTGTGAGCCAGGAAACACGTCCGTCATGGATCCATGCAGGACTTGACAACCCAACGCCAGTGGCAATGGACTGTTTCTACTTTCACCCATCTACCAGTAAGTAGAACTTTCCAGGGCAAGGAAGTCAGATTCAGTTTGATTCTACACACCCTTTAGCTTCAATCTGTGTCCGGAAGTTATAAAAGTGAAACGTATACACTGGAGTGTAATATTTTGGCACTAAATTGATCTGACGATGTAGACATGTTCATTATGTTATTTTCCTGAAAACATATAATATAACATTCATTTGTTTTCAGGTGAACATGATGATATTTGTATTGGCAGTGTTTCTTCAAGCATACTTGTGTTTAGAGGGTACGAAAGGTAGGATGTTTCATCACTATCCGGTATTTAATGTATATCCTCAGGTACTGTTCCTTAATCTGCCTGCAAAACTGTGCTGATTTCCTTCGCAAAATACATCGCTCAATTACAGGGAACGACCTGTCGTATTAAGAACCGGCTAGGTAAACAAAGGAAACTGAAACCAAGCAAACCTGACATGCATGTATTTGTGATGATAAGTACGACAGGAATTAGACAATAAACCACCCATGATTAAGTATATAATAATGGCATATTTCTTACTTCAAAATCTGATTATTTTTGTACCATCTGTTATAAGTACCTTAATGTAAAGACGTACCAAATAGGACAAGAAGGCAGTATAATAGTTGGAGCGAGGGTTCCTCACACTTGTCACAGGAACATACATGGGAAAAGAATTTCTGGTATCCACAAGTTAGAACATATGACTGCTGGTGATTGTGTCTGCAGGGTAATCTACACGTTCACATGGTTGCTGTTGAATGTGTCTGTAGTGTGACATATGTTTATATGGTTGCCGATGAATGTGTCTGTAGTGTGATATACTCCTTTATATGGTTGCTGTTGAATGTGTCTGTAGTGTGATATACGCCTTTATATGGTTGCTGATGAATGTGTCTGTAGTGTGATATACTCCTTTATATGGTTGCTGTTGAATGTGTCTGCAGGGTGATCTACATGTTCACTTGGTTCCTGATGAATGTGTCTGTAGTGTGACATATGTTTATATGGTTGCCGATGAATGTGTCTGTAGTGTGATATACTCCTTTATATGGTTGCTGTTGAATGTGTCTGTAGTGTGATATACTCCTTTATATGGTTGCTGTTGAATGTGTCTGTAGTGTGATATACTCCTTTATATGGTTGCCGATGAATGTGTCTGTAGTGTGATATATATGGTTGCTCTGTAGTGTGATATTTTTATAAGGTTGCTGTTGAATGTGTCTGCAGGGTGATCTGAATGTTTATATGGTTGCTGATGAATGTTGCTGTTGAATGTGTCTGCAGGGTGATATACTCCTTTATATGGTTTGCTGTTGAATGTGTCTGCAGTGTGACATATGTTCATGTGTTTGCTGATGAATGTGTCTGTAGTGTGATATAAATGTTCATATGGTTGCCGATGAATGTGTCTGTAGTGTGATCTGAATGTTTATATTGTTGTTGATGAATGTGTCTGTAGTGTGATCTGAATGTTTATATGGTTGCTGATGAACGAGTCTGTAGTGTGATATACTCCTTTAATTGGTTGCTGTTGAATGTCTGTAGTGTGACATATGTTTATATGGTTGCCGATGAATGTGTCTGTAGTGTGATATGAATGTTCTATATGGTTGCCTATGAATGTGTCTGTAGTGTGATCTGAATGTTTATATGGTTGCTGATGAACGAGTCTGTAGTGTGATATACTCCTTTAATTGGTTGCTGTTGAATGTCTGTAGTGTGACATATGTTTATATGGTTGCCGATGAATGTGTCTGTAGTGTGATCTGAATGTGTATATTGCTGCCTATGAATGTGTCTGTAGTGTGATCTGAATGTTTATATGGTTGCCGATGAATGTGTCTGTAGTGTGATCTGAATGTTTATATGGTTGCCGATGAATGTGTCTGTAGTGTGATCTGAATGTTTCTATGGTTGCTGATGAATGTGTCTGTAGTGTGATCTGAATGTTTATATGGTTGCTGATGAATGTGTCTGTAGTGTGATCTGAATGTTTATATGGTTGCTGATGAATGTGTCTGTAGTGTGATCTGAATGTTTATATGGTTGCCTATGAATGTGTCTGTAGTGTGATCTGAATGTTTATATGGTTGCTGATGAATGTGTCTGTAGTGTGGTATACATGTTCATATGATTGCCGATGGCCTGAATTATTTTGATACAATCGTTTAAGTAATGATGTTTGACAAACGATAAGGTACGAATGGATGTACCGGATCTACAGGACCTGACTGTAAGACTACCTGCAGCAAGTACTGTGTAGACCGTAGATGCCAGCTACTGCCGAGCGGGAGCACCAACTGCACGTTAGGGTGTACTGCCGGTCGTCACGGAACGTCATGCACACTGGAATGTTCCCACACCTGCCACCATTGCCAGCGATATGACGGTGATGTGTGCAGAGACCCACCGTCAACTGATGACCCAAAAGGTGGGATAAACATGTGGTTCACCTGCGTACCATCTTGAAGAGTCATCGAGTTAGTGAAATAAATAAGGAGTCAATTTCAGTTGATGACCCACAGGGTAAGATACGTGTCCGACAGTACATATATTCCAATGATTCCATGTCAGACATGACTTGTTACGTCACTGTCAGTGTGTTCCTACCGCCTCAACTTAAACATAAAACATGCATCAATTTACACAGTGTCATTCCCTTCAGTTCAGATTTTGTTGAATGAACTCATCGTTCATGTTTCAGATACTGGCCAGGATGGCTCACTGAACTCGAGGAAGCTAGTCATTATAATCATGTCTCTGGTTGTGTTTGCTGGAATGTGTGTTGTTATCATCTTCCTGCTTGTATACCGGTATGTGCCTGATGAAGAGGTGTACACTACCAAGTCTAAGGTGTTCCTGATATGAGTGAGTGAGTGAGTGAGTACTGTTTTACGCCGCTTTTAGCAATATTCCAGCAATATCACATGTACATGTGGGGAATCGAACCCGGGTCTTCGGCGTGACGAGCGAACGCTTTAACCACTAGGCTACCCAACCGCCCCGTTCCTGATATGACTAGCAACACAGTTAACATTGTTCACATGCTAATATGCACATGTGTTTGCATCTATAAATATATATATATAAACAAGTGATGTCTGCATAAGCAATATTTATATTAAATATGATCCCAGATATTTCTTCTGTTCCCATCTTCTTTATCTGCACAATATTTTCTTAGAACAAGTTTTCATTGTACACATGAAGAGCTGTATATATATATATTATCATTTCAAGTGTACGTATGTGTAATAAGACGGTTATTTATGTTTCACGATCCTTCCACACTACATTATCCCTTCATTATAAACAGCTCGTCCATACTTACAGGTAAATAAACACACTCTTAACCTCACTGGTGAATGTTAGCTGGGAAAGCAAATGAGCTCTTAAATCTCAAAAGGATAAATTTCAAAACCTCATACTATAATTGTTTTTCAGAAACTGTGGAGCAAGAAGACCCCTCCTGCAGAAAGTGGAGAGGAAGAACGCAGTAAACGGGTTCACAGAAAACTCCCTCCCCTACCACCTCGCCAGTGTGGCAAGGTAAGGGACAGTGTCCCACACGACTACCATGAGGTGGAGGAAGCAAGAACAGAGACGTCGAATAAAGGTGATCAAGCAGACCATGTTTATGATCTCGACTTCCCAGAACAATCCTCTGACAGAAGCCCAGTTTCCATGACTCATATACAGATGAATGTTCTTGCTTCCCCGAAGAGAAATACAGACATACAAACCCAAACCGGAAGCGCAGATTGACATATAAGGAGCATGGACAGTGTAACGACAGATCACTTATCAGCCGGTGATTGTCAGAGTGGAGCAGCTAAACAGATACATTGTGCATTTAATGATAAACGCATAAAACTTTGAACAATTATTGACTGATGTATAGTGAGTATTTTCAGATTTGGAGGCATTCAACATAATTTCATTTTGCGCATGCGCAGAAGGTTTTGTTTATTGTTAACGTCGCACTCAGCAATAATTCTGTTTCCTCCTGCTATATGGCGGCGGCCTGTACATGAGTTGACTCTGAACCAGACAATCAAAGTAATGTATGATGAGCATAGATTTCTTCAATATACAATGACATACGGTATATGGTCATAAATCTGTGAGTCATCAAAGTGGCTGCCGACGATGACCAACCGTGGACGTATGAAAACTTTTGGGGTCTGTTTTCTATATAATCCTGCTCAAAGGGAAACGTTGGAGATATTTACTCACACCTGACTGGGATATTTCAAGTATGTCAGCAATATATCTTTGAGAGTTAACATCTGAATAAATATTTATAATGGTATTTTTCTGGTCAGGGGTCAGTTGCTTTACGTTTTGAAACCATGGCTAGCAGACGGCAGGAAACATGTTATATCTTCCTCAGTTTTGAAGAGTATACACATTTATCTCCCTTACATGCTCAAAAATATTTGTGAAAAAAAAAGTCTATGTCGTTGCTTCACTCTGTAAAACTCAATTTAATAAACATATGTTTTTTAATGTAACGTCGGCAGCCATTTTGATGACTCACTTATGGCCATATACTGTTTGTCAAGTCAGCGAGCCTTCAAGAAAGGTTGAAGTACCGTAAACTTATTGTCCTCCTGAGAGGATACGTTAGTCCCAAAACATTCCAAGTAAATTTAATCTTCCACATTTTTTACTCGTAGTATTATCGACATTTATATTTGTGTTCCGTTTGCCTACAATCGCCAGCAGCTGATGGGATGGTATTAAATCCAGTTGGTGTCCATCCAGGTGGCAAAGGCACTGTCCCCACGGACCCTAGTATGGTGATCAGCCTTCAGTTGTTGGCGATCAATAGCCCATTGTTACATTGTATTGTCTAAAATAGTTTTCTACTTTTAAAGATGTATGCTAGCTAGTTTGAACTCTTTTTGTGATACTCTAGCTATTTTACAGTCCGTCGATGACTGGTTATTTAACTGCTTGTATTTATTGTGTATGTACAGCCTTTCTCGTCACTATATGACTGAAATATTGCCGAGGTGACGTTAAATTTTAACTCACTTACTCACGATCATGCTGTCTAACCCGAATCTTCATGGGTCTAAAATTTGACATCAGTCTACCACACACCCTCGAGTTACACAAACGAGCCTTCACACATATACCAATGACAAGCCTACAGTAGTATGTTACACTTAACATACGGAAGCTTGCTGTATTCGCTGTAAGAGGACGTGTATTGCTGTGGAGTGCTTGATAAATGTCAGTGAGGATGACCACCCGATCCCATTAGTCGCCTCCTACGACAAGCATGGATTCCAGAAGACCATTCGACCGCCTCCGTGGTGTAGTGTGGTTAGAGCGTCCGCCCGGAGAGCGGAAGGTCGCGGGTTCGATCCCCGACCGCGTCATACCCAAAGACGTTAAAATATGGTACTTGTTGGTCCCTGCCTGGCCCTCGGCATTAATGGGTACAACAAGGACAGGTCGGCTCGGAGTCAGTATAATGTGTCTGAGTAGGGTTATTCATGCTTTACTGCGGCATGGTATCTCAGTGGGCTAGCACTATAAAACCAGCTTAAGTCTGGGCTAGTACAAGCAGCCGCACATACACATACACACGCATGCAGGTCGTCATATGAGCGAAATATTGTCCAGCACGACGTTAAACCCAGTTTCACCTCACCTCACCCCAGAAGACCATTCAAACTCGCATCTTCACGGGCGTTTGCTAAAATACAACTTTGCCTTTTCTCGCTACTGTTTTAGCATCGGAAAGGCCATTAATGCATTACAGGGAAATTTTAATCAAAATAATAATTATCCACATATACGGGATGATGAGAGAGTCCAGTGCATTTTAAGTGAGGACTGTTTCACTTGCATATGTCGTTACACCCCTTTCTGCAGCCACAAGAGACAACCTCCTGACAAGACGTTGATACGTGGTGAAGTGTCGTCCACGTATTTACAACTTGTCTGTTGTATCCAGAGTAAAGGCTTTGGAAGAAGTCCGACTGTGACTTAACCCATATATGTCCTGATGGTAAACTGTTTATCACTAGCTGTACAAGAGCACGTTTTGAGCGTTACTGCAAATTACTACAACATCTGCAGTTACTGTTCGTAACATAATCTTTTCATTGCCATGTTTTGAGTAACATGCAGTATGATGTGAATATCGGCTTCTTGTTGACTGCAAGGGACAAGCGATGATATACTCATCAAATGTTTTGACAGTACGCTGTTTCAACTGTTGAACAGTGACTGTCAATAGTTAAAGTGGTAACAGTTGGGTCTTCTGATATTACTGTAACATATGCTTCTACATGTGCCAACATCACGTTTGGGTTTGGGTTTCGTGCGGCTGCAAGTTGGTACTCATAACAGTACCTGGGAAACACAAAGGTCAGGACGCACTGGATACGGCCATAGTGCCAAATTTTGTGAATTTTGCCAATCGTCAGATATTCATGGATGACAACGTTGGGCCGTCTCGTGCCGTCATCACCTTTTTTGATAACAATTAAATCGAAACATTACCATAGTCCATAAGGAGACCCGATATAAACCCCATGGAACATCTTTCAGACTATGTTAGATGCCAAGTTCGAGCTCGACCTTATCCTGTTCCAAGTGAGGAATTGAGACATACACTGTATCGGGAATGGCAGAGGAATATGATCATGCTAATAATACGATGCTTGATTGGCAGTATGAGGAGGAGACTGACAGATGTTATAAGTGGCTACATGGTGCTGGTGCTGTTGCCTGTGGTGGTTCATACAATCATTGTATATAATACAGATTTGTGGGATAGTCATGGTGACCATACTTCCCAGCATTGTTCATGCTCACGTTTTTTGTGTGTTCTTCTCAGATTGCAGTAATATGTTACCATGTTTCGATTGCAGTTTTGTTTTTGTTGAAATCAGAGTAAAATGTGTTACAGTTGCCATTTTAATCCGTGTAATTTTGGTTTTCAAAGCATATGCATGAACATGTGTTCGTACTCATCTTAAAAAAAGTGGGTTATTACTTGATTAATGCTCATGGATATATTTCATTATGGCGTTGAGCATAAAGTCCAAATTCAGTATCGTAACTTGTCATTTTGTAGCATAACTGCCACGGGGACGAGGCGAAGACGATTAATGTGTCACCATTAATGAGTTTTAATTTCTAATAGAATATTACATAAACTTAGTGTATTATCATCAACCATCTTGGAAACCTAAACCTCATAATTTAATTATGCTGAAATGGCACTTTCTAAAGGAAACGTATAGAAAAAAAAAAAATGTATGTGACATTGAAAATCGAATTAGGCTAAATTGGCACTGAAATGCAATAATTTAATTGTTTTAAAAATATTCAAAAAGTAAATATGCGGTTCAATGATGTTTACTGAAATAAAATAATTATGAAATAATGACTGCTCCCGCGCGAAGGACAGGTCTGGATTATCTGCCGATAATAACTGGCCGATTTTATTGTTGAAAATATCCAAAACTGTAACTTATGAATTATTGCCCTTGAGTTCATTTGCTAAACAGTATGTGCATTTTCAGTCAGTAGTGATCAGATGAACCCATTACATATTTATCTTCGTTATGGGACTCCATATTCGAAAAGCTGTCTGCTGCCTGACATTTTGGATGGAAAGAGCATTTATATTGTGGGGTGTTTTAAAACTAATGTAAATTAAATATTTCTTCTCTTTTCCTGTACCTGTAAACATTTAATTGTGAAATTATTCGTTGGAATGATTATGATTGGCTGACTATGTAAGTAGAAACAATGAAAGTAGTACGGCAGTTTTGTCTTCTGCACATGCGCACACGGAAAAACGTTTGTGTGACTCCAATTCTAAAAATATTCAGAAATGTTCTTGAAAATGATGACCAACTTATGTGCTTTTACCGTTGAATGCAAATTTTAATGGAAACTTTATCTTAGTCCTTCACTGTCACAGCTGATAGGATATATGAAACTGAACATTGATATGGCAATGCTTTCTTTTCCTATTCCCCTTTTCAGGACAGTCAGTGATATTTGCAAAACAATATCGGAAGCTGCTTTCCTATTCAAGTTAAATGATCCCAACCTTAAAGACAATGAAGTAAGGGTAGAAGCATAATGTACATTTCATTCCTGAATGCGGTGCGGCTGGGTAGCCAGGCTAGAGTGGATAAAGGGTTCGCTGGTCACTCCGGGTTCGATTTCCAACAAGGGGTACACCGTTTGAAAACCTTTATTTGTGTCATCCGCCCTAATAATGCTATCACATTGCTAAAAGTGACTAAAACTGTACTCAATCGTTTCTGAGACCCGTGAAGATCCGGGTTAGAATTGATCTTCAGTAACCCATGCTTGTCGTAAGAGGCGACTAACGTAATCGGGTTGGTCAGGCTCACTGACTTGGTTGACACATGTCATCGTATCAAATTGCGTAGATCGATGCTCATGCTGTTGATCACTGGATTTTTTAGTCAAGATTGATCATTTACAGACTGCCTCCATACAGCCAGAATGTTGCGGAGTGCGGCGTAAAACTAAACACACTCACTCGCTCTCTCGTTTCTGAATCTAAGAAATTAGAACAGTGTCATCATGACAGATGCACTTAAACACCAGCAGTGGGAACACAGGCGAACTTGCATGTAAATGCTTTAAAGTTTGGCTTTTAATTGGCATATTTGTAAATACACGAACACCTTTTATCCAACTTTATACGTACGCCAATGATATTATCTTTACTGGACATTAAGATCTGATCAGCTGCTGCTGCTAACGGAGTTTCAAGAACGTGATTCAAGGGTCAGTTATCACGCACAACGTAATAACTAATATTACCCCTCTCCGGGAGTAGTTATTTACATATCAACAATTGTTTACTCGAGACCGGGTGTTGAAACCAGCTGAAAAGACTCATGACGTGTGCCCGGTACTCCACAAAGTGCTAGGTGATTTGTTAGAAAGATATTTAGTATGTTCTTTTTAATGTTTATTAATGTAAGCTATAAGATGGCCATATTTTGATACAATGTGGACTGGAAATGAACATTACCTGAAGGCTACCGTAAATATACTCTGTTCGTTACTAGGGCCTTGTTCTAGCTTCCTATTCTTCATGTGAACTTGGTTCGTTTTCTTCATACCACACGTTAATGGTGCGTAAAGAAACCTCGGTAATCAGTTCAGTGTCAAACAAAATTTTGATTAATTTGAACTTTACGCCTGTCTAATTATACTTATTAAATAATAAGTGACGTCATTTCGGTAAGAAACGAAATCAAACTGAAATTACTATGAAGAAAACCTTCACGTCGCCATGGAGG